TCCATTTTTGCATATCAACTCATACCAAAGAAAACACAGCAGCAATTCTCACCAGGAATTCCATACAGGGTCGGTCAGCGACTTGATACACCGCCAAAGTAAGCGTCCGCACTGACGTCCTCACCATTGCATCAGCGCTGTTATAAAGGCGTATAGGGACTGTGTAAAGAACCTTAACATACCACTCCTTGAGAACATCATAACAATAATAAACACTCACGAAATGATCACTGTGGAAGAACAGTGTGAGCATCTCCCGATCGAGGCGAAGGGCCAGACCTTTCACAAAGGTTATATAATAAGACAACAGTTCTTCATCTGAAGACCACTGACAAGGGGCGCCTGACAATTAACAACAAAAATGATGATGGACCAATTTTAATAAGGAGTAGCACTCATTTTCCATGTGTGTTACCGAAGGAGCGGTATTAACCAAACTTATGATATACCTGCGCATCTCTTCATCTCAAAAATAATATTATTTTTTCTCGTTTTTCTAACATAAAATTGAGTATCATGTACACTAATTTCTCCCATGAATCCGTATAGCAGTGAAAGAATTTATCGCCGTTTCCAAGTCACACAAGGTCTGTCTACTTCATCTACGACTAACATCAACATTAATGGTAATAGCAGTGTTGGAAGAATATATTTTCGCTTTCCTCACCTGAGCTCAAGAGGTTCCACACTAACTATAGTAGAAAAACCAACAAAATTTCCCAAGAAATTTCCTAAAAATTTCCGTATTGTCACCAACACGCGTAGTTGCCCATGTGCATATTCTCCTACTTATAAGGTTATTGATATGATCATTGCTAAATACATATATAAGGGGAAGTCCTGGTCCTCAGATTCTGAGTGAGAAGGCTCATAGTCTGCAAAAGTTGAATCTTCACAGCTACTGCTACTGTTGCCATGCTCAGCACTTCGACCTGAAATGAATCCAACGCAGATGAACCTAAGATATTCGTTATCCCACGAAATATGTCCCCTCAAACATGTATTTCATATTGGAGTTTCACCCTAGTGATATGAAAAAACACTAGTGAAAAATATATTTCACCCCGACTACTTCATATCACCGCGAAAATATCGCGTTTTTTACAAAGTATTACCCTGTGTGACACTATTATAGTGATAAGACAATCTACGGCTTACCTCGATAAACCAATAATTTGTCACCTCACACGATGAAGTTTCACCCTAGTGATATGAAAAACACTAGTGAAAAACATATTTACATTTCACTTAAGGTGGAAAACAATTGTAATACCGTTCATCATGAAAGCATATACATGGCACAATTTTCATGCAATACTACACAACTTCGCGTTAAACGAGTGAAACTCCACTGATTTAGATCGAAATACAAACTTCAGAATTAACGCAAAAACATAAATTTTCCCCATTTCCCCACATTACAAAACTGCTCAGCATATCCTTCTCGCAGAAGTAGTCGAACAGCTCCTGATGGTAATTCTGTTCACCCCATAGGAGAATCTCCGAGATCTCCCTGAGGTCTTCTACCAAACCCTCACACGCCGTAGCATTGAGACTGTCGAGGTCCTTCAGCCGTTCATTAATTCGACCGTGGATTTGCGCCATCTCAGATAAGCTGTGCCTGCACAGCACAAGAGAGATCTACAAAATTTCCATGAAGCTCCGAAAATTTTAGGAAAATTGCCAGAATATCCGGAAAATTCGAAAGAAATCGAGAAAATTCCCTATTTCTTTCCAATGAGATCGCCAGAAATACCCAAACAACCATCCAATTTCCTTCGACGAGAGCTTCATATCTCAAAAATTTCCTAGTGAATTGATTCTCAACCACAACCGAAAAATTTCAGAAATTTCCCAGAAAATCCGAAAAATTCCATAAAATTCTGCAAAAAATCCTAATTTCTTTCCAATGAGACCGCCAAAAAATACTCGAACACGAGAGCTTCATATCACAAACCCTCCCTATTAAATTGATTCTCGACCACAAATTCGAAAAGTCCACAACTGCCGATCCCTCCTACCGCTCCTCGACCGAATCATCGCTAGCTCTACTACTCCGATGTTGATATGATAATGATGTTGATTCTTGACCACCCGTTGCATACCCAAAAATTCTTCCAAGGACTGACATAACACATACAGGGAAAAGTCTACGTAAAATCAGAAAATTTTCCCGATTTTTTTTTTTGCGGAAAAAAAAATTATACACTTCTGAAATGCTAAATCATACGAGTCGCAAGATAAACGTTAATCAATCTCAACCGAAGTGACTACTGAACCCAACAAGTCTAAAGATAATAGGAGCAATATATTTGTACAGTAACGTGTATATCAGTGAAGTTTCACCGTTATACTCAGTGAAAACCCCAATATTCGCGCTATGCAGTCGTTTGTGAAATATGTTTTTCACCATTAATACGTATGAGGAACAACGTTGAGTTTGCTGATACTCTAACTATTAGCAGTTGACGACTTCAGAGCAGCCATTTCCCGATATTTCCGCTTGCGCCGTTTGGACTCTTTTATTTTATCGTCAAAACCGACCTGACCATAGAAGGCAATAAAAAGTTGTCAAACACTTCGTGCTACCTCCCGTGTAAATTTGATATGCAAATGTGAAAAATGTGAGTTATTCCTCGAGATTAATAAGAATCGATGTGAAACTATGTCGCACATATAATGGAGTTTCCCAAGTTTTACGTGAAGTAGCGTAATACTCCATGTGAAAAACGCGATATTAATTGCATTTAAATTCTTTGCGAATTACCCGGAAAGAATCACCCCACTTCGCGCGTTTCTCGCAAAGTGAACTGCGAAAAATGTTTTTCATATCACCGTTGAAACTCCAATGTGAACACTACTACTGTGATTAAAGTAACCTCTCGAAACTGTGATAGCGACAACTTGTTCACTATCATTTCTCCTCAGAAAATACCGCACTTTTTCCACATTTTTATATCAAGTTGACATGCAATAGTCCTTTTACTCACTACAACAGTTAATCCTCCAAAATCATTCACCGTAATATTTTCATAGTATAAACTACGCCGTGCAACTTCAATTTTCTTATACGAATTAGTATAAGAAACCTTATACCCCGAACTTATACCTTATACTTTTATATATATTCCAATTTATCTTATTATAATTTTCTTCAAACTAGACTTTTTCGTATTCCCTTCTACCCTTAATTACCTCAAACAACAACAGCTCAGCTTCCTGTACAGCCTTCGACGTCTTCGTGAGCAACTTCAATATTGTCGCGTCCTCATCCTCGATGTCTAGCTTTTCCATAGTGACCTGATATTGTGACTAAACGCAGGCATCCATTCAGCTTTGAGAAATAACGTCCCCCAGAGTTTGATAACAATAGGGAAAATGATGTTGCTAATATGATGATGGCATTTACATGGGAAACTACTTGAAGTATGTGTTCCTAGCCATACGTGGAAAGAATTCAAAATTAGTTTCTCCCCGGGAAATTATAGGTTTACAAGTTGGAAAATCGCTCATAAGGCGGTTTATTTAAGTATTGGAGAACAAACGGCAACGATGGTGGTCTTGAACTCGTGGAAACGACGACATATACTATACCAACTCTATATGGAGGATTCAACACCTGTTATATTCTTACACTACGATGCACTAAATTCACTAATACCAAATTTGCGTCGTAAAAATATGCCCATTAACGACTATTCTGGGAAATTCTTGTTGGTTTTCGTACACTTTTTCACAGTAAAAAATTATACTGTTGCTTTGGAAACTCCCAAGCCCGAATGAAGTTTTCCAACGCTTCCTCAGAACTTTCATATTGCCACCAACACATGTGCTCAACCAGACGCAAATTTAACCACACAGCGAACGTCGAAGATGAATTAGATTCCCTATTACTCCCATACGTTCTTCCACACTTTTCACCAACTTCACATCTCCCTCAGTGACGATACTAACAGCATCCCCTTTCCTCCCTGCCCTAGCTGTTCGACCAGCCCGATGAACGAAGTCCTCAGGACTTGTCGGAAGCTCATAATTGAGTACAACTCCCACTCGGGGGATGTCCAAACCACGACTAGCAACATCGGTCGCGACCAACACTCGCACTTTGGCATTTCTGAATTTCCCTAAAGAAGCCGTACGTCGCCTTTGGTCTTGAAGACTGTGCAAGCGGCAACCGAGACCCCCAGTTTCTCGAGAGTAGAAGCAACTAGTTGGCAAGAGCGGAGCGTAGCTGTGAAAATTATCATAGTATCCTCGGAAAATTCATGACAGACCAAATAATTGAGATAAGCCATTCGCACCATCGCCGGTACGAACACATATCGCAGCCTCAAATTCGTCGGTAGGTCACTGCTGGGGTTTGCGTCCACCAATGGCATCGAACTCTCCCCGTATCTTTTCTGCAAAGCCATTACGTTATCCGATAAAGTAGCCGTGAATAATAGGGTCTGTCGGTTGGCCTTGCCCGGGAGGGCCCGCATTGTATCAGCAATAGAAGTCTCGAATCCTGATCCCGATACCAACAATCTGTCAGCTTCATCGAGCACGAGGAACTCAGTGTGGGCGAAAGCTTCCACGAGGGAGGCATCGCCGTTGAGGATCTCAGCGAGTCTTCCGGGGGTGGCAACAACGATATGGGGGCGATCGTGAATTGCCTGTATTTGCGGCAACAGGCTGGTCCCTCCTACGATGCATGAAATACGACCGTCAATTGGCTTCGACAGCGCCTCGAACTGCTCGGTTATCTGGACAGCCAGTTCCCGCACCGGAGTGAGGACAACTGCGAAGACACCAAAGGGGTCCTTGGAGAGCCTTTGGAGGATGGGCAGGGCGAAGGCGGCAGTCTTACCGCTACCTGAAACACGCGACGATGAATTTAGATGCATGGGAAACTTTACTAAGAATTTGATATATTATTAACTTCTCATTAACACGCTCGTTTGCATCGAACATTCTCATAATTTCACTTCGAATGAGATTGAAAATACGCAACTCTCTACAGATCTTCCGAGGTCTGTGATGATGCAGTGAAATTAGTAAATACTCGAGTGGCAGCCCATAAGGAGGCAGCAGTGGTACCTGTCTTGCTGGCACCGACAATATTCTTGCCGTCCAGAATAGCAGGAATAGCAAGTCGCTGAATCGACGTGGGTTTGGTGATTTCCAGACTACCACAGACATCTACGACCCACTGGCTGAGACCGAGGTCTTTGAAGGTCTTGGCTTCTCGCCGGCTTGAAGACATCATTCAAAGGAGAATACGACAAGCTGGAAAAGTTCGAGACGGGTAAAATGCATGGTGCCGGGATCGATCCCGGGTCACCCGATTGTCAAGTATGAACACTCACTCATAACGAACTTAGCTGTAGAGAGTTTCCCGTAGATCACCAGAGAGGATAGGCAAGGCGGGCGCTTTTACGTCACCGGTTGGGCATGCGTGCAGACTCGTGACCAATAGTAACACAGGTGACTTGTGTCCAGACAACCACGATGCCAGTCATTCTTCACCCCTTTCATAAACCGTTAAGTCCTCGCTCTCATCCAGTCTCGCGTTCGTGCGTTTGTCCAACTCGGAAATAACACAAGGCGTGGTATAAAAAGGAAAAGTTACCTTTCTAGAACAGCATTTTCTCAAAGGTGATGATACATAAACAACGTACTCTCAAGACAGACATATATCAAAGGGTGACACATACGATAAAAACTCTCGTCATAACCATTACTCGTGGCTTAGGGCCGGAAAAATGCGATGCTCTGCTCGATCTCAGTGCTGTAGCACTCGCGTAGTAACTACAAGAGGCAACCATTTAGCATTGAGGGATATCGTCCCCCAAAGTTTGATATCAATTGGGAAAATGATGTTGCTAATGTGATGATGACATTTACATGGGAAACTGATTGAAGAATGTGTTCCTAGCCATAGGGGGAAAATTCAAAATGAGTTCCCCCCGGAAACATTATAGATTTCTGGCAAGGATGTTGCTAGGTGTTGTAAACCTTCGAAGATTTCTCTTTTGTGCGCCTGAGTAACATCTTACTGCAAAAGTGCTATACTCGCTTTGATTATCATAAGTTTCTTATACGCCTATAGCGTAATACTTTACGCCTAGCAACACGCCTGGTTTCTTGATATTTCCATGTTAACTACAATGGCTAGATGCTCTAAGACTCACCTCGGCATCAACTGTGGCTTCATCAGTGCAAATAGTGGTGCTCATCTGGCAAGAGGATAAATTCATTCAAACGATTATACATGGGTAATCTCACCCGTCCGTTATAGGTGACAACAGTAAACGTTTGTGGATAGCTGACGTAACACTGCAACCCAACGATTTCCCTTCCACACACTGAACGGACATTCCGGGGACCTCGGACGTTGGTCACTGTGAGGGTTTTCCCCAGTAAATAACGCCCGCCGCAAATCGATTGAATGAGAAGTGGACGAAATAACGGCAAGTTCATGAAAAGCCCACAGAAACGTATGAATACTCTACCTGAACAACAACAACAACAACAACAACAACAACAACAACAACAACAACAATCCTCGCAGCGCAAACACCAGTGCAGACGCAAACAAGCTCTCTGTAATACACTCCTAATGTCACTATTTTAGTGACACAGGAATATACCAAAAAAAGAGGACAAAAACAAACCATTTGACTCCGCAGTTTCCAAAGACTTTGTGATCATCCAGTTACCACTGCGCGAGAAAATCCGTTACGATGACCATTTCACTGGAGAACCGCGAATGCCAATTCCCGAATGAATATAGTGACAATATTCGAGGTGATATTCCTAAACTTGATACACGGTGAAGCCTTGATTCTCCACGACTTGTAATGGGGTAAATCGACATTCACGCATGGGTTTCCAAATTGTTCCTTTTTTTCATCATCAGAAATTCTCTCACTCATATGGACACAGGTCTGACATACCAAAAAGGAAGGCGGGAGAAGACTTGAGCCGGCCGGTCTGCAGCTGAGCATCTCGTATCCTCTCGCGAACGTCTGCGTGCAAGGACAACGGCACCTAGCAAGCAGCGCGCACATCCAATATTCTGTCAATCTATACCACACCTCACCGAAAAGACCCAAGATTCGTTCCCCCCACCCCCAATCCTTGGTTTATCATTCATAGACCTCATATTAGCCGTAAACTGGAAGCCCATACGCAACGATGCGGGATCGCCAATCTCTTTCCCGTTCTTCACCGCCTGAGATGACATAACCAGTAACCTTTAGTAAACCATTCTCAACGTATTGAGCTTTGAAGCATTCACCATGTATTACGCGTTATAAAGGAAACTTTCAATTGACCTCCTCAGACACACTGTTATCAACATCAACACTATCCCGATTCTTATCAACAGTCAGAGAGCTCAAGCATTGCAAGAAGCCAGTGAATCACATGTCAAAAAACTGCAGTTTACATGTTTCTGTAACTTACAGCTTGTGTGGTCACAACAATTTCCAAAAGTTTCGGAGAAATTGCAGATGATCAACTACGTGTGTTGGTGGTAATACGGATATTCGGAGAAAATTCCAAGACATTCTTCTTGGTTTTTTTTCTACTTCTACCCCAAGTCGTGCTCAAATATCTTTAATATAGCTCCTGAGCCCAGCCGGAGAAAGCAAATACATATTCCAACACCGTTCCGTAATGCTCAACTGTAAAGAGCTCTCACCTCAGCAAGCAAATATCGTCGAGCCGCGCCCGCCAGCAAGGCCAGAATCACGTCATTGATTTTAGCCCCGGTCGCTCGAGAGACAACCTTCAGATCTTCCACAGACACTTCCTTCCCGAAACGAACTTCCAAACGTCCACGTCTCGAGAATGTTGGATGCAAACTCGTATAAGAATCGGGTAGAACGGAAAATACCAGAAGCATATAAATTGCCCATGGGATGAGCTTCAGCCACTGCCACAAGATGCATCTGAAAGTCAAATCATAATCACCTACGAAAAGTGGGCGAAAAACTCCGAAGAATGGACGTTTTTCCCCACTCACAGTCCGGATGCAAGCCTTGAAGTCTTCGAATTCACATCATCCTCAGACAGCCTCGACGACCCATCACCAACACCGTTCGCCGACCCCCTCAATTGCGTATCGGGCATTGGATCAGTGAGCTCCAATAGAGCCATAATACTCGAGAAGCCATCAGCTAAGGCATGGTGTAGCTTGCTGACTATAGTAGTATTCCCGTCCTCTCCTTGCACCAAGACGAACTTGATGGGAGGCAGATGCTCATCAAAAGGCGTCGTCATGATCCTCTCGACGACCGTCTCAACCGCACTCATACTCTGAGGACGCTCCCTGAGGACGTCATCAGCCTTAACTTCATCGACGATTGAAAGGACATCAAAGTCCTCGCCGAGATCCTCCACATTGTAGTGTACATCCAAGCCCAAGAGCGAAGGACTGCTGTAGATACGGGAACGATATCTGCCAAATATGAACGTTTACAAGATGGAATTGTGACTGAAGCTGATTGGTTGAGGAGAACTGTCAATACAATAGGACGCCATTCAACTTCGATGGTCACAGTGTAGGGTGACGTGTGTTGGTGATAATATGAAAATTCCGAGGAAATTCCAGGAGATTATGCTTGCTTTCTGTACACTTCTACCCGAATTAGTCTGTAAACTCCTAAGCTCAGCTAAGGAAAGCGAACATATATTCCTCCAACACTGCACGTGAAATAAAAGGCGAGCACTGTATAGTAAATCAATGCAGGTCTTCCGCACCAACATACGCGAATTCTTTCTGTCAAAAATATAGCCATAGCCGTCCTAATCTACACTTAGTCCCTATGAAAACAACAATGCACCAACCATCCCATCGTTATCACCGAGGATAGCGGTCAGTGACACGCTCCTTCCACAGCTTGGCGAACTCCTCACGAGATACCCTTCCATGAGAACCAACTAAAGACACATCAGCCTCTAGAACTAAATGGTTTCACCTCACCAGCTGCCCTAGTATGCATACAGCAGCCTATGTTCAAGCCATGACCGTCAGTCTGGTCCTCGATAGCTGCGAGAAAGTTGGACTCAAATGAGAGCTGTCGTTTCAATCTAGGCATCTTCGCACACTCGGTTTGGTGTACCATCGAAATCAACAAAAAATGACAACTGAGATTCATCATCACCCCATGCTCCTGGCCGGAATAAGCCCTCATGAAAATGTCTTCATTCACCATAACAATCTTCAAGGTTTCTCCAGTGATCTCCCACCTGTTAAGCGTAATTCTCTTCTCTCGGATGTCAAACTCAGGGAATTCACCTCGGACAACATACTACCTGGACCTCGACACTTAACGTTTTTTTCATCAGAAACCACCACCGAGCTCATCGCCCATCAAATCGTATCCCATCCTCCCCCGAGCAATCAGTATCAAACATATCGAACGGCTCCTTCTCCTCTTGCCCTACTTCTTAGACACTCCACTGCCGTGTTAAGCACGACTTTATCGACCGAAGGCGCCTATGACATGATTGAAGCCACGCTGAGATACTTGCATGGCGCGAACTACACGGAATGTCTGCTATGTCGTGGCATTGTGATATTGATAGCCTCAACACAACACAGCATTAGAAAATAAGAAACACAATATTATCACAATTTGCTCTGTCGCATTATCATGACCTTCCGTACCGTCTCTGGCACTCCTCTTGACCACGACGCCTTACATGCGTCCTCGAACAAGGCCTCATACACCTTCCCATCCTTCCTCCCCAACGTGGACCCCAGCAACTGTTGATCCGAAAACTCAAAGGCATCCACTAATGCCAGAGCTGCTGGACGGAGTTCTTTCACCAACGCAAGCAACTCCTTCACACCATCTCCACGCGGGGTCAACTCCGGCAATAAAGACATCCCAGAAATCGGCATATACATAATGCAGTATGCATAGACTGATACCAACTTCCGAACCAAATCGATCGCCTCACAGTCCGGTTTCAAGGCCGCTACTTTTTCCACACGAGAGTAAGCCCAGTTGGCCAAGACCCATTCACAGTAAGCCCGGGCTGCGACGATATCATATACACTGCTGCTACGATCACAGGCTGTAGCATGGGCCCGTTGGGCACGACCTCGCAGCTCTACGAGGGGTAGCGTCCACGGGACTTCATCACCCAGGATGGAATCTGCAGGGAGGCTTCTCATCTTCCGTCCAGCATACGAGAGTAGAACTTGAACGTCTCCCTCGGCCGTCACGCGCCACAAATTATCCAAGCTAATCCTCGCGATCCCACTGTTGATCAAGTAGCCATTTCCACCACAACAACGACGAAGGTCCTCATTTAGGTCAGCAGACAACGCGCACGCCACACCCTTCAGCGCGCCGACGAGCCATTCAGATTGTCTATCAACACCAGCGTCAATGAGCAGCCATTGACCGGCCAGTTTAAGCACGTAGGCCGAAGCTATGCCTCGTAGTAGCCTCATAGCCTGAGCATCGTGATCGATAAGCCTGGCCTCCTCCCCAATGGGGGTCAACGGGGATCGACCCTGACGACGTACGTGAGAGTACCTAGTCACAAATGTTTCCCCCCCAAAACCCATCTAGCTTCGAGAAATAACGTCTCCCAAGATAACAATGGGAAAAATGTTGCTAATGTGATGATGACATTTACATGGGAAACTGATTGAAGAATGTGTTCCTAGCCATACGTGGAAAGTTCAAAATGATTTCCCCACGGAAACCTTATAGGTTTCTCGATAATTCCCCGATGCCTCCTATAAAACGGCATATTCGATGGTTGCAGGTGGAGGTCGTCTTCAAGAGGAAATGTTGTACACAAGTGCCCGTCCTAACTTTTGCATTCTTGTTTGCTTTCCTTGCTAGCCCAGCGTGTGCTTTATGACTACTGAAGTTTCACCCGTTTCACCTCGAGTGGTGTGATACTCTGTGAATAACCCGATATTCGCGCTATACAGTAGCCGTGAAGTATGTTTTTCTTATCACGGATGATACTTCACTATATTGATAACAAATTAGGAACCACTTGTTATCCAATCTCAAGCGTCATGCCCTACCTGGTAGCAATAGTAGCGGCTTTAGCTAGGACCCCTCCCGATAAGGCTATCCACGCAGCTCTGGTGGCCACCATAGACGAATGCTCCAGTCTAGTATTCGCTCTGGGGTTGCTGATGAATTTACCATTTTTCGTAACCTGCCAAGAACCTTCATACACATATCATTACGAGGTCATACTGTCCCATAGGGTCGGTCGTGTGCGCTATACACAGTGTTGGACTTCGCCTTCGCTTTCCTCACTAATTACAGGATTTTATATACGACTTCCAGTAGAAGCGTTCAGAAACCAACCAAAAATTCCCAAAAGTTCCTCAGAATTTTCATATTATCACCAACGCATGTAGTTGACCATGTACACATTTCCCGTCCTCCCAGTAGTCCCCACCCACCTCCCCTTTGCCGGCCAGTAGAGCCCCTAGGGGCACTCTGAGGTTGTCGAGGCGCATCCAACCCGAATCATGAGATTCCTCCCCCATCTTAGGGCCAAGCTCCCCCAGTTGAATTCCCGGTAAAACACGATGGTTCGTATCTCGTAACGTGATGATGAAACCGGCCACACCTTGATCGCCATCCTCAGGCAGGACCAGCCTCGCATAGCTGAGAACACAGCATCGCATGCCAAGCCGTAGTAGCATCGACTACCCTACACTATAGCATGCGTGGCGATGAGGGCCAGCCCCCCAGGCCACCATTTAGTAGCAGTAAGAGTAGGAGTGCTCAACAGGAAGTGAGCCTCACCGTCATCACCATCACCAGCAATAAAGGTAGCGGTCGTCGCGAGGCCCTTCACATTAGAGCCGTGACCCAACTCAGTTTGACAATATCTGCCAACTAGATTGACACTACCACTTTTATCAATGGGGACTTACGAACCAACGACTTCCATCGTCATCACTTTGGGTATCCATTCGCGTCTTTGTTTTTCCGACCCTTGCCCTACTATGGCTTGCAAGAAGGGCACCATCGAGTCCCACATCCCAGAGCTATGCGGAGCTATCTCGGACATCCACACAACCTCGAGAGGGTCTGCCGCTGGGGTCATGCCAGAGCGGGGTAGGGCTTCAGTGGGGGCTGATGTGCTACTATGGAGATGGGGTCTGAACGGGTCATGCAAGGGTGCCACTCAGCGGAGTTCAGAGTGGGGGGGAATACGCACATGGCCAACTACATGTGTTGGGGGCAATATGGAAATTCCGTGGAAATTTGAGAAGACTCTTATTGGTTTCTGTGCACCGAATCCGTATGTAAACTCTTATGGGCGTGGAAACTATCGAGCTCAGCTGAAGATAGCGAGCATACATTCCAACACCAGCGGAGCCACTGTTGAGTTTACTTGTGCAAATGGAAGAACCTCCTCAAGGCCTCAGCAGCGCGTTCATCTCTACTCATGTTGCGATCCGTGTCGGGGTCCACCTCGAGACGGTCAGCCAGACGGCTCATCCAACGACGACGCCGCTGCCTGCGGGGGTCAAAGCCGTCCAGTAGGAAGGAGAGAGACTCCGTCAAGGACATGTAATGGGAGGTGAAGTTTGATCACTAGGGATGCGACAGCGATGCGTGTGCTGCCAAGAGGGATGACACTACAACATGCGATAGCCTTCTACTGTGATTACGAGAAGGTTCAACAGCTGCCCGACCACAACAGGAAGAACGTAGGGTTAGTTTTACAAACAATACTAGAGTAGACTGAGTGTATGTCACTACAAGGTAATACACCGTGGAAGTAGTGCTTTAGGATCAGTTGCGATGAGATGAAATGCTGTGGGAGATACGACGATTATGCGCGAGTAAAAAATTCCAAAGCTTGGAGAAATTCACCCATTTGAATAATCGTTCGGTACAGCCTGTGACATCCAGCCGGCTCGTTACGTCGTGGACGTAGGTCCAAGGAGTCTTCCCTTGGCCCAACCTGCTTCCTTTCGCCCCTCAGGAGTCCTTGCCAGGGCTTGGTGTTTCTATTCCCTTCGCGTTTGTTCAGTGAGTGTTCACTTAGCGTGTCAGCACTGGTGGCGCCCTAGGGTGGGAATTCGGAGACCCTTCCTACTCCCTAGCCTTACAAGTGGTTTCCTTGTGGACCATGCTGACCCGATTTTCATCATCACGCCTGTGTGCAGCTGGTGTGTCGAAACTGCCTGAGGTTAACATATACCAGTACGAGATCTGCCCCTACTGCAACAAGGTGAAGGCCTTCTTGGACTGGCAACAGGTACGAGGGTCAGGTGGTATCTTTGAAACCATAGGATACTAGGTTGAGGTGGTAAGATACGGAATAGGTCCGTTTGAGGCACGTCTGCTTTTCACTTCACCTACTCAGGTCCCTTACAAGACCATGGATGTTAATCCTCTTACTAAGGGGGAGATTCGATTTAGTAAAGATTATCGGAAAGTCCCCATAGCGTTCATCGATGGTGTCCAGGTAGTTACCCTCTACCTATTCCCTTTCATTGGTTCTCCTTTTAGGTCAATGACTCTGCCGAGATCATCAAGAAGCTCGTCGAAGTGCTGGGCAGAGAGAACGTCACCAAACAGATGCAAGACGCTGAGATCAGCAAATGGGTGGACTGGACTGACAACAAGCTAGCGGTGTTACTTTTTCCCAACCTCACACGAACGTTTGGCGAGTCGTTCGAGGCCTTCGGGTACATTATGAACATACCTCATATGTGGTTACCCATGAAAATGGTCAATCGTCTCCTTGGGGGTTGGGCGATGTGGATGGCCAATGACAAGATAAGGAAAAAGTACGACATTGACGATGAGCGAGAGGACCTCCTCAAATGCATCGACGTAAGAAGCCCTTGTCACATGCCATTATCGATTTCCTACTCGACCCTAGGAGTGGACACTCGACTTGGCAGCGAGGGGAGGGAAGTTCCACGGAGGCCCCAGCCCTGACCTCGCTGATGTTGCCGTGTAAGTTGCTGCTAGCTGTGTTGTCTAGTGTGATGTAGGTATGGATGCATAAGGTCCCTCGAGGGCTTCACCACACACCATTGGCTCCTCAGGAACCACACTGACCTCCTCGCTTGGTAGCGGTAAAGGTAGAGATAGAGAAGTCAAGGGCTTATTCCAGGTACAACAGGATGTTCCGGGCAATGCCCAAGTCCAGTCGAGTCGACCGTGTCTTTGACACTCCGATTAGAAGTTCGACTGCATGACGCGAGATTGCGGGAGTTTTTTTGTGTCAAACTTAACATGTTTCGGCTTCTGGGGATCTCTTGTGTTTCTCGAGCGTATGCGTGCTAGACATCGTTGTTCCAATGCCTGCAGCACAGCGATGGAAGTGCCGCCTGTTCTTCTCTCGAATCGACTTGGCTCAAGAGAAGGCTGAGGTACTTCGTCTCCCTCATCCTAGTGATGGCAAGCCGGCTAACTTCCTCGTCACTTTTAAGGGCAGGTAAGGCCTTTGTTGAGCCTGTGTTCTTGTTGGTGGTGGTTTAGGTTGTTCGAGGTCAACTCCTTTGAGCGAAGTGGGTACAACCGAGGAAGTATTTTTGTCGGCGATGATACCCTCGTTCGCGATCCTCATGTCCTTATCGGGACGGAGGTGCCGCCCGTGTCGATTCTACTACCGTTGTTAATGGCTCAGGAGAACAACGTGGAAAGGTTGGTGGGTCTGGGCTGATGAAGGCTTTCCTCTAGTTGGTAGGTTTGTGTCTTTCACTGACATAATCCTCAATGCTAGCACTGAGTACAGTAACTGCAGGGAGGCCTTCAAACACATGGTATGATCTATCCCTCCTCGTTTGAGCTCTTCTCAAGGTTAAGCTGTGTCGGGTGGAACTCGAGAGGCAACTCGCTTGCGTGTGTGAGGTGAAGACGGTCTCAGCAGAGGTAGCTGCTGCGCCTATTGCCGTCACTATCATCCGGCCCTTCTGCAGGACAAGGTGTATCGGTTTAGCATGGACCGGTTGGTGGCTTGGCTTGCTGTTGTTGTTCGGAAGACAACTGAATACGTAGGGCCTTGGGTTGGTCGTTGGTACTGCTGTCTCCACAGGCCATGTCATCTGACCTGTATTTCACTGAGGTTGGTGAGTGCGCTACAGAGGAGCTGAAGAAGGAGAGGCTAACGCGATTTGTTTGTGAGGTATGAGCTAAGGCATGTGTGAGTGGTACCGGCATATTGCCAGTTGTGCTATCATTTCGCGATCGGCAACGCTGACCTCGTGGCTAAGGTTGGCCAACGACTGGGCGTCGGTGAGTGACAGTAGCACCTTCACGACTCTTTGTTGGTATCTGTTAGATGTATCGCAAGCCTTGATAGCATCGCCTGTGAAAAGGTCGAACCTTCCTGCTCCTTCTGCTGAGGTAGCCGCAACAATGAACCAGAAACGGAATAGGCAGAGTGAAGTGAGCAGTGCTCGATGGGAGGTTTGATGAGGACCATCGGTGTCGACAGGCCAACAAGGTTGATGCTAAGCGGGCTCGGTTGGAGCAAGCGGCCAAAGGCTGTAAGAAAATATCTTCGTTTTTTACGAAGGTCCCCAGCAAGAGCAGTCATTAGCGCTGGCACATGCCTTATCGAATTAGTTTCATGCTTTATTCCTCTTCTTCGTATTTGTGTTGATCTGATTTCGCAAGCTCCGTGTAGGTTTACTCCTGTGTATAATGTTTGACGCGGCCTCATCAGCTCAGAACGCTCAGGGTAATCCCTCACCTCAGTACCAGCAAGCCTACCTCTATCATCAGCAACAGCAGCAGGCTCAGCCGATGATGAGTACCAAGGCTACTGCTGGCAATAGCAGTCCCAGCGAGGAAGCCACTACGTGTGCTCCCTCGGTCCACACTGAACCCTCCACACCGCCGAGCTCGTCTGCGGATCCTCTGTCCCAATTCGCGGCCACTGCTCCCGACTATTCTGCCTATGCTGCTCAGGCTGTGAGTAACTACGGCCGAGTTGGTCATAATGGCGCCAACTATGGTGGATACGCTCCAGTTTATAATAACGGGTGAGTTTGAATCGGTCTGATGGCACTCATTATTTTCTTCGTTCTTTAGCCCTCAATATGACCATACTTATGCTGGCCAGAACGGCTCCTTCGGCAGCTACCCTGGTGCCTACGGTGGAGCCTATCCTGGCATGTACAGCGGCTACTATGGGCAGTATGAGGACCAGTTGGGAGCAAGCCTTATCCCTATCAACTGGCAGGACACTCAGCTCGTTGAACTGCGCAAGAACTTCTATGTTGAAGATCCTCGTGTGGCGGCTATGACTCCTGAGGAGGTCGATCAAGTTCGTCGCACTCTTGATATTGAAATTCTTCGCGGTGAGAACGTCCCCAACCCGATTCAGACTTTCGACGAAGCCTGTCTTCCTGACTACATCCTTAAGGAGATCAATAGGGCTGGCTTCGAGAAGCCTACGCCTATCCAGGTCCAGGGGTGGCCGGTTGCTCTATCTGGTAGAGATATGGTTGGTATTGCTGAGACGGGTAGTGGTAAGACCCTGGCCTTCATGATCCCAGCTGTTATCCACATCAACGCCCAGCCCTACCTCCAGAAGGGTGATGGTCCCATCGTCTTGATCCTAGCACCTACTAGGGAGTTGGCCCTTCAGATCAAGGCCGAGTGTGATAGGTTCGGGAGAAGCTCCAGAATCACCAACACGTGCGTGTACGGTGGCACTCAACGTGGGCCCCAGGCTAGGGCCCTCCAGAATGGTGTTGAGATCTGCATCGCCACGCCTGGCCGTCTCATTGACTTCCTGGAGTCCGGCACTACCAACCTCAAGCGTGTGACCTACCTGGTCATGGACGAGGCTGATCGTATGCTCGATATGGGATTCGAGCCGCAGGTGAGCTCGAACTCGCCGCTACGAACTGCGATAAACTGTATATGGTTTCAGGTTCGCAAGATCGTGTCCCAGATCCGTCCGGATCGTCAGACCCTCATGTGGTCGGCGACGTGGCCTAAGGAGGTGCAGCATCTGGCGAGAGACATCTGTAACGAGGAGCCCGTCCTGGTCACTGTCGGCCGCTCTGGTCATGCTTGCCATAAGTAATTTCGGGGGGGGGGGGGTTTCTCGACTCTATAGACCTTTGGTCATTCTCAGTATCCAGCAGTACGTGGAGGTCGTTGAGAACAATGTGAAGCCGGAGCGTTTGCTGGCCCTTATGCAAGCGGCCTCAGCTGCTACCGGTGGTGGCTGGACTGCCAAGACCCTCATCTTCTGCGACACTAAGCGTGGCGCCGATGATATCACTCGTCTCCTCCGTCGTGATGGGTGGCCTGCTCTGTCCATCCATGGTGACAAGAAGCAGAGTGAGCGCGACTGGGTCCTGAACCAGTTCAAGACCGGCAGGTCTGCGATCATGATTGCGACTGATGTTGCCAGCAGAGGTCTTGATGTGAAGGACGTGAAGTATGTCATCAACTATGATTTCCCCGGCACCATTGAGGACTATGTTCATCGTATCGGACGTGAGTCGACCCGATTTGGTCCTATGTTGTGTATGGCGCGGTCTTAGGTACTGGTCGTGCTGGAGCTAGCGGCGTTGCTTACTCGTTTTTCTCGCCTGACAAGGGCAAGTTGGCCCGTCAACTCGTCAACTGCCTGCGTGAGGCCAATCAGTCGGTGCCCGAGGCCCTGGAAACGATCGCGTTCGCTAACGACCGCTCTAACAGCGGTGGTAAGGGTCGCGGTAAGGGCAACTACGGTGGAAAGGGGCGTGGGTTTTATGGTAAGGGCAAGGGACGTTTTGGCAAGGGCCGTGGTAAGGGTAAGGGCATGAACTTCTCTATTACTGGAGCCAACTCGGTAGGTGTTTTCGGCTGTGGTGCGGTTGTGATTTGTTTGTCATTGGCTTCAGATCCCTGTCGGAAACGCGGGTCCGAGCAAGGGTAACGGTCCGAGATATCAAGGTTTTGATAACGCTGGGATGCATTAATAGGGCACCTCATTGAGCTCCTCCTTTCGGTATCTTCATCATCATCATGGCTGAGTGGCCGCTGAGTCTGATGGTTACTACCGTCTGAAGTGAGGAACTCCTACTTTGTCCGACTATTTCGGTAGAACTGCTGTATATATACCTTCTTGGTTGCTATTGTCCATCTTATATCGAGTCTTAATGGGTTGCATTGTAATGTTTCTCCCCGTTCTTACTCGTTTTTTGTGGTATTGCTGCTGCCAATTAACGTCATTATTATATTCATAATCCTCGACTTATGTCCACGACTAAGATCGTAACGATTCTCTTATGATCGAGTCACATTTATTTGCCCAACCGGGCCACGCTATTTGCTGTCTATGTTCACACCTGATGATGGTTGTTTTCCTAGTGGTTGAGCAGCTGTACTAGATCGATAGTAGCTTTCAATGAGGTTTATCACCCCTTGTTCACGTCCTTTCTGGTCTCAGCTCTCCACCACCATTACTGCTGGTGCTGGCAGTAGCAACATCATCGTCATCATGATGTTACTAATTCTTAGTATTTTGTCTCTCGCACTCATCGAGTACCCATCCCTATAGTGATGGCGAATTTGCTTTCCTTATCGTAATTCGGCTGCTGGCTCTCTATTATTCGGTCGTTGATACAAGTTTTGCGATCTCACAGACTGGGCTCCGTGAGGCCGGCAAGAGCGCAGTCACGAATTACTGTTATTATCGTTTCTGATTCGTGTGGTATTCGATGAGCCTCCTTTCTCTACCGTTGTGGTAGAAGGAGCGAAGGCAGCAATAGCGGCTGTAAGCAATAGGGCGTTTGTCGAGGTTGATTTCACCGATAGCTTTAATGACGTGCACCTACCGTTTTAGAGGACGACACTTATTCATCACCTCTTATTCAATTTCCTCACTGAAAAATTCGATATACATACAAATGCTTGGTCCGAGTTGTAGTCGCTTTCAATGGTGGGTTTCGGGTGGTGATCAGTGTGTCTGTTTGGCCACGATGTCTTTAACAGACGACGCGAGGATCGATCATGTGGTGGTCGGGTACGCCGAAAAGGTTGTCGACAGGTTCCCAGTCGGGAGCTTCGATAGCAGCCTTAGACCAGTGGCGGCGGTGGCGGGACCATTAGGGGAAGAGGGAGATGCGGTTGTATGGTAATAAGGGTCGTATGTAGCCCTTGCGGGTCTTAGGAGGTCGTGGACTTTACAATAGTGGCATATTGAAGCGGGCTTTTATTAATTCCATCCGCAACCGGAAATCGGTTCTCCTATCGCATTTCGTTGGGATGCTTATGGACAGCGAGTACCATGGAATGGTTGGATGAATCGAATTCGCCTGGCGGTGTTCACGTCTGGTCGTAGTTGTCAGTTGACGTGAGTATTTTTCAGCTCCTACCCTGGGTCCTCTGATAAGGCCACTTGTCGTGTAGCAGTCTATCGGGCCTGCGAGGACGGCTCGTCACAACTTGTTCACGCAGTTATCGTGAATATTCCTCGAGAGGTCGTGGAGGGTACTAGGGTCACTCACATGGCGAGTCAAGTGGATCGCAAGTCCGGTGGTAAGTCTACGCCCTAGTCGGGGTCCTCTGGGTTTCAGTGCAAGTCTACGCTACGATTGCCCTGTACATCGATTTCTGGACTCAGGCTGATTTCAGGTATTGCGTTCAGCCTTCTGACGGCCTCGTCGGTCGTCCTGTCCCTCAACATCCCCCCTCGATTGCACCGGTCGGACTCTGTCTGGATCAACCGGCTCGCCTCTCTATCCCAGCGTGTCACCACTGTCGCTGGTCTAACTGGGCCGGCCACGTCGTTGACCCTTCTTGGTCCTGGATGGGCTGCCATTGGCTGTGCTGATGGGAACGTTACGTTGGCTTGGCTCTCTACTTGCGATGACGGCCAGGAAACACCGAGTTTGTGCGAGAAGAACCTCGGCCTTGTTGCGCGGAAGAGTGTCTGGTCCAAAATGACCGGCATGTTCAGAAGTGAGCTCTCTCGTGCTCAGTGCGGTCGGGAGAAGTTGGGCGTTCTCTGCAGGTTCCCGTTCGCCATCAACCGTCTCGGCTGCGGTGGTGGGGTTGGTACCGCTTCCCAACCAAGAGCTCCTCTCTGTCACTGCTGATGGTTGCTGTCGCCGATGGTCCGAGCCCCTCTCTGGTTACGCTGGCACTCCGCCTGCGAGCGAGACTAACCTTGAAATATGTGGCGGCATCGTCGTCAGCAACTTCTATGGGGAGGACCTGCCGGGGTCTCTGGCGGTCGGAAGGCAGGATGCTGCGGGGGCCTGGATTGTGAGCATCCTCGAAATAGACGAGGATGGGTCCATGACCGAGGGCTCCTCGATAGACCTGCCCCTCCAGCCGGGGTCAGACCTACTCCGGCTGTGTATTGGTGACCAACAGCTACTCGTGGTTGCACAGAGCCCCGACAACACGGTTGAGATTCTGGTCGGTGATATCTCGCCCGAGAATGGTGGGGATGGCGCCGTGGCCGGCTTCACAGTGTGCGCCACGTCTCAGCAACAAGGGAAGCGGAAATTGGAGCTGGCCAGAGGCGTCACTGTTGCTGACCTTGAGGACCTTCGAGCCTCCCATGGTGGTGAAGCCGTGTCAGAGCTCTGTTCACTGCTGCCTCCGCCGCCGTTCCCGGTATTCTATGTAGCCGATAGCTGCTCCAACGCCCTCAGTAGTCGGGACTTCTCAGTGGCATGGTGGACTTGGACGCTAATCTCGCTTGGTTCTGAGAGCTCTCCAGAATCCATCTTTGCTAAACTGAATGCGGGGAAGAGCGTGTCAGCGGTACACGCCTTGGCCAGGAGCCTGCTACCGTGTATCGATGCAGCTGGGGACGAGAAGAGAACTGCCGTTGGGTTTGTAGGAAACTCCTTCCTGGTCACCACGGCACATTCAGTAGCTGCTCTGAGACCCGTCGACGATCTTTTCGAGGAGAGTCTCTTGAGGTTCGGCATGGGGCATTTCCTGGCTTGTGGAGGGGCCGAGGATCTTCTATTGACCGACGAGGAAGCATCGGATCCTCAGCGGCTCTGCTCGGCGGCACTCATGGCGGGAGCTCTGACTGTGACGAACACTACTGTATTATCAGCCCTCGCTGCAGGTCACGTCGAGTCTGTGGTAGAGGCTTGTGCGGCGGCGCTCAACTGTGACGATGCGGGCCTTCGGATGGTCGGCGAGGCTTCGAACCAAATTCGAGATCTCGAGGGAGCTGCTCGCGAGGTCGAGGTCCTGATTGCCTCGACTCGGCATGTTCCCAATGAGGTCCTTGCTGGGCTCGCCATTTGGACTGAGTGGGCTTTGAACAACGGCGCACTGGACAGCCAGTGCGGCGCAGCAACGGTGGAGGAAATTCGAGGATTGGTAATAGCCGTCCACTGGAGATAATTGGGGTACTTCTTTGGTTCAGCACGAAGTCGTTTTGGGTGAATTGCACGCCTCGCTCACCCTCGAGCTCGCCGTGGACACGTCTGCTGTTGTGTTGCGGTGTGGCACTGAAGGGCTGACGAGGGAGGAGCTTTTGAAGCGCCTGATGGAGTATCCAGTGGATGCCAAGGAGGTTTTGATACCTCTGGCGATCCTCCTCCGAGGTGGCAGAGCAGAGGGCTACGTCAAAGCTAGGTAAACTGGTGTTAATTTCGCTCACTCCTTTACTGGGTGTAGCTCTTCTCAGTAGAGCTCGGGATTTTCCTTCCCTACTGTGAAAGCTCACATGCAATTTCGGGTAGAAGAGTAGAAACCAACAAAAATTTCCCAAAATTTCCTCGGAATTTTCATATTATCACCGACACATGTGATTGTCCATATACGTATTCCCTCACACGGTAGTCGATTGCAATAGGTCGATCCTGTCTGACGCCGACAGCTGTACTTCCGAGAAGCTAGCATACGTCCTGAAGCTCCTGACTGGTGTATGTGTTGATGCCCATGGGCCCCTCTCCTCCGTGTTGGGCTCTGGTGGCAGCCTCCCACAACACTGCGTGAGGCTGTGTTGTCAAGCTGGATTCTTCGAGGCCGAAGTGACCTTTGCCAAGCTGCAGGGCATTGATGTGGCCGATTTGTTCGATCGGGCTCTGGAACTTCACGACTGGGATACGTGTTTGGAGGCACTCGCCGAGAGAGCCACTCCTGAACGGCTGTCAGCGATGGCTCGAGAGCTCGAGCGTTGTGGTGAACTGGGGTGGCTTATGGGAGCAAGGACTGAGAAAAGCGCTGCCGAGGCTGCTACTGCGGAGAAGCTCCTCGATGTCATTGTCTCGTCCGCGAGGCCCGAGAGTGTACGAGAGCTGGAGCAGTTGTGGGCCGTGTTGACCAAAAGCGGCGATCGAGAGCATGCGGCAAGGCTGGCTATCAGGGGGTATATTGACTATGGCGGACGCGTGTGGATGCCGGAGCCTCCTCGGGGCTTCCTTGCTGCGGACTGTACTACCCCTCCCGGTGAGATTCCGTATGAGCTTCGGCAACCTGAGGTTGTGGAGTTGGTGGAGAACTCAGAGCCAGAGGTTGTTCTGTCAACGTTGGATCGGTTGCAGTGCCAAAAGAAGACCTTGTTGTTGGCCAAGACTAGTCTGAAGCGCATGAGTTCCCCCCGGGGAGTGTTCGTTGCTCTCCGAAGTGGCGAGCTAGCTGCTGAAGGATCGAGGTTCCTCTTTGTCGACCCTGCCTGGGTTCAACTCAGACTCCGCTACGTTTCGCTCTACTCAGCGGTGGTAGAACTCACCCATGTGAGTGTTGGCGCTGTTGACCCATGGCGTCTCTGTCGAATAGGCTCATCCTTGGGTCTCCTGAAACCGGCTGTGGAATTGGCCCGTTTGGGTGGGTTGGACCCCTGGTCCTCCTGCTTCTTGCCATTCGTGGAGCTCATACGACGGAATGAGGGACCGGCCCTTTCGAGAGAGGATGGAGAGCCCTCGTTGATGCGATATGCCTTCACAAGGTTCGACTCTGTCTCGCCTCTACAGTGCGATGGCAGTATCACCGAGGCACTGTGGTCGACCCTACTGCTACTGGCCAACAACGATTCTTACTCGCTCGCCCACGCGCTTGTCTATTTGCTCCGTGTTGAGAAGTCAGCAGTCCCCGAGGATTTGGTGACCAAGTTGGAGGAGCTCGACTGGTTGGCGCTACTACGAGCCTATATGGTTACCGGCCAGCTCCGCCAAGCCGCCGATCTTGCCCTGCAGCAGGTCGACGAATGGGAGCCTCAGAACAAGAAGTCGCCTATGGATTTGGCATTAGTATTACAAGTGATGGAGGCTGTGGATGTCGCTGTTGAGCAAGGAGACGATGAACTGGTAGTCCCCACCGTTTTGTCGTTGTCTTTGCTCATGTGTATTTGCAGGTGTCCGAGAGAGACGGTCTGGCTGAGGCTGTCGAGGGTCTGAGGGACCGCTTACGTATAGATGATGAGAGAGCAGTCGGACTGGCTAGGCTCGGTCCTATGTCCTTCTGAGTATGATTTCCCCAGCTCTGTTGTGTGTGGTGTTTTACTGCTCATTTCACTCCAATCGTCTTCGTTCAGTTCGTCTCTGCAAGGCTATGGTGCATCAAGGCGAGGAAGCTCCTTGTACCTACAATGTTAGTGCTCTGCTCGAGGCCTCTTTTCGTGGTGATGTGGATGGCATGAAGGCTATACTAGCTGCTAACCCCACTATGACGGTCAACGATCAGGACTACGACAACCGCTCGCCTCTGCACTTGGCAGCTGCGGGGGGTCGAATTGAGGCGGTGAAATTTCTCATTGAAAGCGGTGCCGTCCTGAAGACTGATCGCTTTGGTATGCTACCGCTCCACGATGCTGTCATGAACGATCATCCGGATATTTGCGATATGCTGGCTGGTCTGGATCTGTTCGATGCTGATGGCATGTGTTATCTATCCCCCTCCCAGCTGGAGCTCCTGAAGGATCAACTGGGCTCTTACAGCGCTGAGATCAGCTTGACGGTTGAGGAGTTGGAGGCAAAAATGAAGGAGATTTTTGGTATTATTCTCAAGGAAGGTGTTTTCGCGGCGAGAAGATTGTGGATAGAGATTCAGTACTATTTTATTGACCTCGGTTTGCATCCTAAGTATTTCAAGGACTTCACCAGCGCCCAAATCGCCAGGCATATACATAGTCTGCTGGCGGCCCGGAAGATTGCCCAAACTACCAAGTCCGACTTCATCCACTTCGAGATCGAGGAACCCGAGTCGGCGTTTTTCCTGGCTACGTTGGATCCGAGCAGGGTATGGGAGACTGAGCGCAAGGTTGTGAACTACATCTCCCATTTCCGCAGTGATGATGCCGTCTCTATGGTTTTCATGCGCTCCGGTAAGTCGCCGAATCAAGATGATGGAGGTATGCCTCTGGGAATCTTCATTGTGAACAAGACACATTTCCAGCCTGGAGTCATCGAGTCGAAGGGCGTAGCTGATGAGGAAAATATAAAGGTGGTGGCGAGCGAGAGGTTCCTCCAATCTAAGACTGAGGAGAATCAGCAGTTCTACCAGTCGCTGGTGCATGAGACCATGGCCACTCGGAATGCGGTCGTGAGAATTATCGAACCGCCCTCGCACATGGTCACCAAGGCTGGAGCCAAGATAGTTCAGTTCGCCGCCTACGATGCTGAGCGCAGAGGCAGGGTTTACCTACTAGAAGTGAATGAGTGCCTGAGATCTCACGATGTTATGCCCAAGAGAATGTACGTCGAGAGCTTCGCTAACGGCATCGTCACCTACCACATGTACTTCGACCCGGTCTCTACCGTGGACGACCTCGAGAAGTTGGCGCAGACGCTGCGTTATGCTAGCCACTTTAAGCACAGTCCGAAAAAGTCGGCGCTGGTTTGGGATTTGGTGTTGAAAAATGAGATTACGCCGGAGCATGCCATCTATCTCATCTCGGCCGCCAAGTTCGTCTTTTCGTTTTTCCCCAAGGAGACTCACGAGTACCTGGACTTGGTCGAATTCTTCAAGTCCAATCAAGCTATGAAGAGCAAGCTGGACGAGATGTTTTTGCAGACTATGTCCAACTCCATCACTTATGAGCGCATCTACGACGCGCTATCAACTCATTATGCTCTTACTTTACCGATGTTTGAAGATTTCAGCAAGATCGCCACGGGTGAATGCAAACCCTTCCACAACGATGAGTTGGAGAGAAGAATCGACGAGGAAGTCTGGTCAAGGTTTGACGGGAAGATCCTGAAGACTCTTCTTAAGCTCAACGCCCATCTGCAAATGACCAACTTCTTCAAGGCTGGCACTGCTGCTGCCATCGCCATGAGGTTTGACGGCCGAGTCGTGTCTGACCGTCCCAAGAGTCTATTCCCGGTTATTCCGCATGCAGTGTATTTGATTGTTGGCCGCAATTTTTACGGTTTTCATATAAGATTTCGCGACATCGCCCGTGGTGGAATCAGAATGATATTGTCGAGGAACCGGCAAGTCTACAGTAAGAACTGTGCCACTTTGCTCGAGGAAAACTACAATCTGGCTTTGACGCAGCAGCTGAAGAACAAGGATATTCCCGAGGGCGGGTCTAAGGGGACCATACTGCTAGACTTGGACGACCAACATCTGCAGACGAGCGGGAGAGATGCCTTCAATAAGTACATCGATGCTCTGTTGGACTGCATGATGTGTGAGGAGACTGGTCTGGCATCGCACTTGTCGAGGGAAGAAATACTCTTCTTCGGCCCTGACGAGAACACCGCCGGGTTTATGGACTTGGGGGCTTATAGGGCCAAGGCGCGCGGATACCCCTACTGGAAGGCGCTAACCACGGGCAAGTCGACCAAGCTTGGCGGGGTACCTCATGATAAGTACGGTATGACCACCAACTCGATACATGAATATGTGCTGCAGCTGCTGGACGCCCTTGACATTCAGGAATCGTCGGTGACTAAGGTCATGACTGGTGGCCCCGACGGAGACCTCGGCTCCAACGAGATACTCATCTCCAAGGACAACACTATCGCCATCTGTGATGGCTCCGGTGTTCTCTACGACCCGGAAGGGCTCAACAGGGATGAGCTTACTAGATTGGCTCGAGAGAGGATTCCGGTCTCGAATTTCGACCGCAGCAAATTGTCTGCCAACCCGAAGTCTTTCTTGGTTACGGTTGATGATGCTGATGTTACTCTGCCGAACGGTCAGCACTTCAAGACTGGCGTTGAGGTTCGCAATACCTTCACTTCACTCGAGTACTGCTCGGCTGATCTATTCGTCCCTTGTGGAGGCCGCCCAGCTACCGTCAACATGGGCAATGTGCAAGACATGTTCCATCCTTCGACCAAGCAGCCGAAGTTCAAGTTCATCGTTGAAGGCGCCAATCTCTTCTTCACCGACGATGCCCGCCGAGTTATGGAAGATGCTGGTGTGCATCTCTTCAAGGATTCATCGACGAATAAGGGGGGTGTCACCTCGTCAAGTTTGGAGGTGTTTGCTGCTCTCTGCATGGCACCCAATGATCACGAGAAGAACCTCACTGTGAAGGATCCGAACAGCGACCCTCCGGAGTTCTATGAACAATATGCGCAGGAGATTATCTCGGTCATCCGCCACAACGCGAAGATGGAGTTCAACGCTATTTGGACTGCCAACCATGAAGTGATGGCTGCCGACGGCTCTGGTTTCATCAACAAAATTGATGCTAGTGCCATGCTATCGAGGAAGATAAACCACTTGAAAGCCTACATCATGGAGGTCCTCGAGACGGAGGAGCCGGACGATCAGTGGATCGTTCGTGCGGTGCTAAGGCGCTGTGTACCGAGACTGCTGTTGGTGCATTGTGGACTGGACGGTATCTTGGAGCGCACTCCCGAGGCCTACATCCTGGCTATGGTCGCCACTTGGATTGCCAACACCTTCGTCTACAAGTTTGGGCTCAACTCCAGTGAGTTTGCCTTCTATCAGTTTATGCGATCGTTGGAGGAAAGCAGTGGAGGGGAGGTCACGCCTGCGAGCATGGAGAGGCCGCGTCATCTTGGCTCCTTCAGTCTCTGATTATCATTTGAGTAATTTCCTATTCGTAGCGGATCAGTTTCCGTAGTATTTTCCCGATCAATATGAGCACCGCGTTGGTAAACATTGGTGAAGAAGTTCATCAGATGAAACATTGGCTCGAATCGACTTGATGGAACCAAGCGAAGAGGGTTTGCGGATGCGAATCGAAACACAGCGAGCGCCCTCACACTTTTGTTGATGGTTCATAGGGTTGAATGTCATTCGCGAACTCATAATAGCGTTGAGAGATCTTCGAGCCGTGTGACGGTATAATGCCGGTCTTACCAAATCTCACGACGGGTGATGGCAGTGTAGTTGCGTCGAATTAGCGCTATCTAGTTCATCATCAACCTCCACGAATCGAACCCAAGTATAATTTACTCTCAGAAATACTTAGCGTATGGAAGAGAGGCTTTATCGTGCTCCTGACTTTCGGCGTGAGGCTGAAATAGACCACGAATCGCTTTTGCGATGATAGCGCTATTGTTTTGGGCAAGAGTAATGTTGCCCGTTCTCTTTTGGGTTCTTCTCACTAGTGACGCATTTCTCCGTATTTCTCCGCATTTGACCGTGTCTCATCCTAGAATGATGATTACTCTGGGTGCCCAGTCAAACCCCATGTCGTATGTATAATGTCCAAGTGAACGCAGGACTTTCAAGTCAGAATTCAACTCGTAACTTCAGAACGCCATCGGTATAGTAGTGCTCCGTAAATTCTCCCTGAAGGATAGTCGGGTGGATGACACGCGGTAAGGATTCTGTGGGAGAATTCGGAGATCTCCATGGTGAAGGAGACTCGAGTGTTTGTTTTAGCTCCATTCTAGAGCTTCTCACATCCGATCAAGTTTTCGAAAGATATTAGGAAAATAGATACACACTGTGTATTACACAGGTTCTTATGGGTGTTGAAGAGTTTGAAATGTATTGAGAACAACTCCGATGCATCGTAGACCGCATAATATTCCGCAGTGTACTGTGTACCTCTCATGCACGTGATCTCTCAGGAGGCATTCATGAAAGTCCAAGCAATGAGACAGTATTCACATAACTATCACTAATAGAGTATTGACGAATAGCAACATGACACCACTGTAGCTAGATCAACGCCAACACGTTCGCGAGAGATCCACATGTCATTGCCAACGACCTCTGGAGAGGCCAGCAGTAGCACTTCAGCTAGCTCTGTTATCCGCCTCGCTAGTCTCGAATCTTGAGTCATTTCTCGCTAGTCTGCTCAACAACCTCCTCTCGAACTCCTACTGACGTAGACCATGTATTATCGCCAAGGCATTGAGTATCCCACCAGTCCTTTTCTGCTCTTTCGAATTCCGCTGTACTGAATCCATGCCCTTCTGCAGAATAGCTACAAGAGGACGAGGCTCTGTTGAATATTCCTTCTGGAGATGTCTGCAAAATACATACTGAGTCACCAAAAACGACAGAGTTCACTCATCGATTAATCTTAGCCCTTGTTTGTAGCAGCGGACCGCAGCACCAACATCGCCTATATATCTGCGCTCAGGTAGAGCTGCGGATGACAGGCTCCCATAAAGCCGTCATACTCGTATTCAACTGCCATTTGCTGGTACGCTGTGATTAGAAGGAAGACTTTGTCACGAAGATCTGACGACGATGCCGCCGAATCGATCCCTTGGGTCTGATTCGAACTTCAGAGACCCGTCTTAAAGGGCGCTTCCTCCTACAGATTCTCGTTCAAGTGCTTCCCTTCCCCCTCCTCCTGTCGACTCCGCGTTCTGGACCTGCTGAGTTCCATCGAGAGCCTCGGGGCGATGAGTTGTAGAGCAAGCAACCAACATGCTTGTGACTACATGGCCGATCCAGAGCAGTTATGAAAGTGTGCGGGTCGTCAACCAGAAACCCGCGGTACAACAACATCATGAGAAATAGCAAAACTATTGTCTCCTCGAGCGGATTGTCTACTAAATCGCTGATAGAATGAATGCGTAGAGATGACACCTGCGCGGTTCGAACCTGCGCCTCCATCCTCCACAGAGTTCCCGAGCTCCACGTGCGTCCAGAGCATGCCTGGTGTAGTACCGGTAGCTCTATCACAGTCCCGATGAAGTGTCGATTCATTTTAGGCTCTTTCCCTCGCTTCTTCTGTAGCTCCCTGGTGATGATCTCATACAGAGTAATTGTAGCCTCCGAGGCATAGAGCAGAGCCTCCTGGTGCCTGAACCGCACTTGCACCACAAGGACGCCAACAGCATCTCCACTTCCCCAATCTTGACTGAGTTGCTGAGATGTGTAGCCGTGTCTGGGCTTCATGTTCACGATAGTTCAACGCCAAGGCCTTTTCGAAATACCTCATAGACTGTGACTTATACAAGCGTCATTGCACTCCAGTGGGCTACTTCAATGCAGTGTGTAGCTTCCCGCAGGCTCGGCAGTACAATCCAACAGTGTTGTACCTGCATCGGCATGAGCGTGAGGACTACGAGAGTCGATGGAGTCCCCATTACGTATGGCTCAGCTCCGGCAGTGTGCCCAGTTTTTCGCTGAGATGTTCAGCACGTTCAAGCACGTCTAAGAGGGAGCCGTAGGGGCTATCTGCCGGGGCTACTGGTGCCTGAGGAGCTTCACAAACCCTGCAGAGAAACTTTCCAGCGATTAAGTGCCGTGAATATTTTCCGGATAAAACGTTCGGTTGGTATCTACCCCTCAGCTTGACGATGCTCAACACATACAATAACCAAATCTCAATTGCCCCCCATAACCATTACCTCGCATCCAGGCCTGGACAGCCTCGTTGCATGCAAGGCAAAGGTCTCGCATGACCGTCTGGACCTGAGAAGCTTGTGAAGATTCAAGCGGCTGCGACATTCACCTCGGGATGGGAATCTGGGAACTTGGTTCGCCTGAGGCGTAGAGAGCTGTCGAGTAAAGACAGAAGGTGAAAGTGATCAACTGCATAGGCTTTCCCTGAGAACGGCTACTTGTCGTGAGAACAAATCGCTCACACTCTCCCTTACTCGCAGCAGCGATCTCCCTATCAATGCCCGCGAAGGAGTCTACAGACCGGGCTGACTCCTCCTGTGGCATCATGGTCATAAAAAACAATTCCCCCAACTCCCACGTTAGCAGGAAGATCACAGTGACAACTCGACACTACCGCTGGTGGTGATAGAAACAGATGGTAACAGACGTTATTGGATGGTAACCTGGCAGTGGCCACCGAACATGCCCTTGATGAGCTGATCAACGGTCTCGTCGTCGTACTCGCAGGCCTCAGAGGGGATCCCAGTATCGACATGGGGCCCATCCAAATCCTGAGGGGCCATGAAGTGAGCCAACTTCTCGATGGGCTTGTAACGGAGCTTCCGGCCCTTCGACGCTCTCCTATCGACAACTCCCTTATGCAGTTGGACACCCCGCTCGAGTTTCCTCCCCGTCGCTCCGCTGTTGTCTCTCGAGCTGACCACGTCCTTCAGCATAAGAGCGTACAAGCCAGAGTCATCATAGACCTCAAGATCAGCAGCGTTGGGCTCGTCCTCATCAATCTCCTCGGTCCATCGCGCACCGATTCTACGCCCATAATGTCCCTTTCGAGGGTGGCACCTCGAGGCTTGGTCAGCACTTTCTAACTGGCGGCCGAGGGATCTGTCGAATGCCTTAAATTTCGTCGCCTTCCCGCCCAGAGACGCCTTCTCCTGCCACTCCTCTGCTACCGATAAACAAAAGGAGTTCACCGCATCGTTCATGGGCTTCATCAACTTCTCCCACTCGTCCTCATCACCACGCCCCAAGCTGGCCGGGTCCAGACTTCGGGCGACCTCCTGCAGCTCCGGGATCTTCTCAGCGGCATCGAGCTGCATTTTCAACATACAACGGGTGACGTCATCCACAGCAGAATCGTCGAGCCCCGTATCACTGGGCAGATCCTCCTTGAATGCCGCAGGGGGCATCCTGGCCGAGTCGGCGAGTAGAGGCTGCAGCTTGATCCGAGTGGCGAGGGCCTTATCCCAAGCATCTAACACGGCCACTGCCTGCTTGGGCCCTTCAATGTCCTGAACCTCCTGGGCCGTGCTGACCAGCTTTATGTCCGACAGTTGTCTCTCCATGTCCTCGGGTATTGGGTTGTCCAAAGAGCCAAGACCCTCGTCAGCATCGAAGAGGTCTTCATCATCGTCACTCGTGATGCTGGCTATGGAGGCGATCTCGCTATCGTCGCTCATGGAGAAGGGTGACACCTACAGGGACAGTCCCCATTGAAACACTACAACTCGACAGGAGGACGATCGTACGAGAAGTGGAGACTCAGACGGAGCCGAATTGATCAGCCCATCGCCGATAACGTTGGCTCATGCCATGACCGTCCCCACCCGCCGGCCCTACTCTTTGGAACGCCTCGAGTACATCATCATACGTGACCGAACGTACAGGCACGCTGTCGGTAGTCAGCGAGTCGAAGTGACGACGGAGTGGTATCATAGCAGATTCTTTGCAGAGGAGTCGGATGTCGTCACCCGACCACCCCTCTGTCCGCGAGGCCACTTCTTGAGCTATGCTATCGAGATTAGACTCGCACACATACTCCATTAGGAATCTACAGCGACCAATCAACTCAGTCAGTTCCACTACTACTACTACTACTACTACTACTACTACTACTACTACTACTACTACTACTACTACTACTACTACTACGTCCTCGCCATCGTATGTCGAGACGACTTATCGGGGAAGTCGACGAGTATCCTCTTTTCCAGCCGTCGAAGCATAGCCTTGTCGAGGTCCCAGGGCAAGTTGCTGGCCGCTAGGACGAACACATGGCATTTCTCACGGCTCCTTCGAGTCAGGCCGTCCATCTGTTAGAGGAAATAGCGACCACCTGTAGGCCCATTCTGACCTGTATGAGGAGTTCTGTTTTCAACCGACGGCTTCCCTCATGCTCGGAGTCGCCACTTCCACGCTGGGACATGAGCGAATCGATCTCATCGATGAAAATGGTTGAAGGCTGTTGAGCTAGAGCCAATTCGAATAGGCACCTGAATGCTGATAGCAGTTGACAAGCACCCCCTCATGAAGAAGGACCGGATGAGCTTCTCTGAGTCTCCTCTCCACTTGCTGACGACTGTCGAAGCGCTGACGTTGAAGAAGGTAGTGCCGCACTCGGTGGCAACCTGACAGTGCGGGGAGTCCCATGTTGAAATCATACCGAGATGAGAGCACGGCCTTAGCGAGCATAGTCTTGCCAACTCCTGGGGGGCCAAAGAGCAATACGCCACGCCACGACTCGGACAGGAGGGGGCCATGGAAAAGGTCGGGGAATCTGGCGGGGAGATTCGGGGTAGGCATGGGAGGAAAGTATGCACATGATCAACTACATGTGTTGGTGAAAATATGGAAATTCTAGGGGGAAATTCTTGCGTCTGTTTCTGTACACTTGTACCAGAATCCGTATAAAAACTCCTACAATTGGTCGGGAAACTCCTGAGCTCAGCTGAGGAAAGCGAACATATATTCGCCCAACACCGATCGGACTACTTCAGCGGGAAGACTACAGCCTCCTTCACGGCTCGCTTGGCGTCCTCACACCCTATCACGTCCGACCAGTTGACCAGCGGCTTCCGCGTGAGAATATCCCGACAAATGCTCTGTGCTAGCTCACGCATCTCGGCATCATTTTGATACCTATATCGATTCTATGGTGAGTGAATATAGGGAGAACTCCATGACATGGAAAGTAGGGCCGATCGAAGGTCCAAGTCTGAGTCTAGTCCATCGTCGTGGTCCGAGGCATTACAGGAGTCGGGAGGCTGCGTACTGGCGGCTCTTGATATGGCCTGGCCGTCAACAGCTAGTCTGAGACACTATACACTGGGGCGGTCAGGGTGGAAAAAAATATGCACATGGAAAATTTCGAGGAAAATTTTGCAAAATTTGGCCGCTCTCTGCACACTTCTACCCGATCGAGTTTGTTAACTTCTATAGTAAATGAGAAAACTCCTGAGCTCAGCTGAGGAAAACAAACATATATTCCTCCAAGTGGATGATGATGTACCCGAGGGAGCCGGTCCCCTCGGGAGGTGAGGCCTTCGTAGGAATACTACGACGTTGCGGGGATGTCGTGACCAACGCGTTAGGACGAGGATAAGAATCGGGCAAGGCCGTCGGCGAGGGCCCTGAGACGATACTGTAGTAAAACAGTAGAGCAGAGGGGGACCTTCTGAGACGGCCTTCTTGACGATGACAGGCCTCTGACCGTACTTGAAAGCGTGGTAATCCTCGAAGTCCTTGACGATGAGCTCGAGGGCGATGTTGTCAGCAACCTAAGGTGTGGGAAAATATGCACATCAACTACGGGTGTCGATGACAATATGAAAATTCCTAGGAAAACTTTTGAGATTTTTTGGACACTTCTACCAGAATTGGTATGGAAACTTTTATAATTCGCAATGAGACACCTGAGCTCAGTTGAAGAATGCTGCGGTCAGTACTTGAAAGCGTTCGTTCAATCCAGATTCCCTTGAAGCGCAGGCGGCGGCCTCGGTAAGTCCCGAATCCCGCAGAAACCTGTACCATTCAGGTCGACCAACGCAGCGCGAAGAGTACAGTGTGGGGAAATATGCACATGCTCAACGACGTGTGTTGGTGACAATATGAAAATTCCGACGGGACTGTTGAAAGGAACTGCTGATTTTTTATTCATACGAATTCGAGCAGGGATGTACAGAAGCCAACAAGAATTTACCGAAATTTATTAAAAAAATCCCATCTTATCACTGACACACATAGTTAACCATGTGCATATTTTCGCACGCTGGAAGGATATTTCACAGTCTCCTGTGAACTCTTTAGTGACGGTGACACACTCGAGCTATTTTTAGGAGCCCCTCAGCGTGTCACCACAGTGATTTTCTATGCGACATGATTTCCCCTATAGGCCCCGGTTTCCACGGGTCCTTAACCAGGCATGTTGTTTATTACTTGATAGCCAATACGAGGCAGCTCCGTCGTCGCTCCTTTGCTCGTTTTTCATCGACTTCCCTCGCGATCGACGCGATCTTACTTCGCATCATCGTAGTGTAAGTAAGCCGTACAAAACTGCATCCCATATCGATCACAGTGGCGCGCGCTAAATGCTTTCCACCAACGTAACGCCTGTATTTTACCAAACCCGAATTTAACCAATACAAAACCGCGCGCCAATATAATCGATAAAAAAGGTAATGTTTAAACCAAATCGGAATTTATATTTTTGTCACGATTTTTTCCAAAATATTGCTAATGTTCATTTCTAACTCGAAAACACAATCCTGGAAGAAATACTTGCATATGATTGGTAGCTAAGTTGGGAATAAGTTAAGTATTCTGATCCGAAGGTCGCTGGTTCGATTCTATGTTATTCTTTCTCGTTAGGACTCTTGATGTTTCTTGCATATGCGGTAACTTGTCGTTTTTTAAACTGTTTCTTCTGTATTTGCAAATGAGCGAACGATGTTTCCCCTGCGTAGTGGGCTTTTTCTTTGTTTTTTTTACCTACGAACTAGCTCACAAGCTTAATTAGTTATCCCCGACTATGTGTTAAGTGGTCTTGTTAGAGACTGGTAGTGAGACTGAGATCTTTAGTTAGGACTCCTAACTTAGGAGTCGGCATACTGTATCATCTGAGATCAATCGCAAATGTCATTTTTATCTTCTTGAACGAGTCGCGTTTTTACAGTGTCAATTATTAACTTATTAATAATGCGCTATTAACAATACACGTTCACATTATCATAATACTGTCGCTACGACAGTAACGACAGTGTCGTACAACGCGGGTAGGTTCCTCAGCGACCGTCGCTGGGACAATGCGCCTACTTCACAATGTGAAGTTCACATCACACAAATCTCCAGCGAAAATTATTGGAAGTAGACACGCGAATAATCTTGGGAATTGCTAGCGCGACGGACTTACCGGGCAGTTGCCAATTGCCAACTAGTAGATTATTGCTGTAATATAGGTGCAGGACTCCTGCAGCAGGAGTGGACTAGTATTTCATTATTCATTTACGTAGTTATCTAGTTTGAAACGATTCATTGCTTCGAGCGGCTGGAAAGCCCAATTTAAGCTCTGAAATAATTAAAAGTATATTGCCTAGGTTCGAACCCTATACCGTTGCACTTATAAACACGCAACTTAACCACTGAACCATACACTCTACATAACTAGAACTTTTTAAGTGTTCTCCATGGCGACCTGTTATTGCTTCAACGTTCCCCAAGCGATTGGGTAAAGTAATGCTAATATATATGTTATGAAGGACCCCGAGACTATAGTACGCGACGCGGATGACGTTGCAGACATAGCAATAATGGAGTGAATCAATGGTGAATATACAAACATCTACGGGAGACGGTTACAGACGTTCCGTCGGTTACAGATATGAAAAGATGCGCTCATAGTAGCGCGCGCCACAGTCGGGCTTTCCATAATCTCCACATACCGCTGTGGGGTTGCGATGAGGACGACGGCGCCGACATTGGCTAACGCGAGGCAGAGGAGAAGAAGGGAAACTTGAGCCAAGATGGCTACAGTTAGTGACAAATGAACTATAGCTACCTCGAAGTAATCATGCTCTAAGTTCCGCTATGTGGCTGCGTACTACTAGAGAAAGCGCACGCCCTAAACCCTTACAGCTTTCTCCCCCTTCGTGAGCGGCCATAACGTGAGGTACTCCCTTGGATAGCCTCTAAAAAATGCCGCTCATGATCTCTCTTAGATCTTCTCGGAGTTGTAGTAGCAGTACCATTCTGGGATTCTGTGGTCCCGTCAATAAGTAAAGGATAAGACATATGATCTTCTCCCCCTTCATGGGGTGTGTCATCAAGAATCTTGGAGTCAGGGTTCCCCTCATCATGAGCTAACGGCTCTTCATCGCTGAAACCTGAGTCTCCTGTAGGGTGATCTTCCTCCACATGGGGATCATCCTCATCATAAGTAAAGAATCGGCGCAGATTTCTTGCGTGAACGATCATCGGCGCCCCACCATCGACCGGCTTGACAGAATAACATTGTTTACCTTTAGCACCAATAATTTCATACTTCTCATCTCGAACATATTGACCCAACTTTGGGCTCCGGTCTTTGGTAATAAGAACAATATCTCCAGCCTCCAATGGCTGAGTACCAATGCTCTTCTTGCTGCTCTCCACTGCAGCGTGTTGTCTCCTATCCAACCAGAACTCTCGGAAAATTCCAAGCATATGATCACGTCTCTTGATACGGCGACGGCAATCAGCTATCACCTGAGCGTTGTGCAGCGGGTCCGAGGGAAGGAATTTCGGACGCAATCGTTCCCATTCTTCGGCTGCATTATCGTCAGCGGTCAAGAGGCGAGCGATCGGTAGCTTAGAGGAGTACCCATAGACCAACTCGAAAGGAGACGGAGCACCATCCTTTGGGGTAGAATTGTTAATACGATTAGCTATGCAGCACAATTGGCTGAAGGACCATGCCACTCGTCGCCGACGAGTCGTCGGCACTCGGTGGAATCCAGGGGAGTCTAGCAGTGGAGCAGATAGCTGAACGGCTTGCGGAGGGACCACTCTTTGTTCGCCCACTTGTCTCTAAAGCATCGTCATCCAAACATCCAGGATGCTATCAGTAATCATCTCGCCATTGGTAATCAGCCAGTCACGATCAGTGAGGTCCACAACTATTTCCGGCAAGGGATAAGACGGACCAGCAGGTATACGTATCCAGTCGAGCAACCCTTGTCCCTCTCTGGGGTTCTCAGCACCAGCGGAAGGTTCAGCGCCGATTTCGATATTCTAAATCGAGATCTAACGACCAGACTCGAGAGCGAGACGAGATTCATTCGTGTTCACGTTTGTCTCGGTTTCGTCCTTCTCTGTGTGTTGTGTTTTGCTTGACCTCTCGGATTCGACAAACTCGCTTGAAATCTGTCCTGGGTGCCTTCCCTGCCTCTGACCGCATCTTGGTCATATCCTCCATCAGAGGTGTGCATTTTGAAGTGTCTAGTTTCCTCCCACTTTGAGGCAGGTCCCAGTCGACGGGAGAGACCTCCATCACAGACAAGTGTAGGACGAACCTCCTGCCCGATGATAGCGTGACTGAACTCAGGTGGAATCTCAAACCCACAACGCTGCTTAGGAGCTTTCGGCAGCGGGTGGTTCTTTTCCTTGAGTCTACGGAGGTTCTCCATAACCGAAGACCGCTTTGGCAACTGCTCGATGTACTGAGGAGGCGACCTTTCGATGACGTAGTCGTAAACCTCGGCTGGTTTCTTCTCGAATGCTGACAGTTCCAGGCTTTTTTCATGGAATTCACCAGAACCACCTTCCCTGCATTCGGGCCCCACAAACATGCTCAGCCACCTAATCAATATTCTTCACAACTAACATGTTGGCCGGTCCGTTAAGATCGCCTAAGATAGTCAACCGAGCTTTGCACTTGAGGCTTCCTGCAGGAGGGTGATCAGACTTGACGCATCTCCAGCCGCTCCTCGAACGTTACGATCCCTCCTGAATAGGTAGCCTTTGAAAGACTTCACGTAGAGACTGAAATTCAAACATAATGTCAAGAGGATCACCCAGAGCTAGAACCAATCTTTGCGCTCAAAAGTTCTCGTGCGCAACGAATTTATGCGCTGAAATATCGCAGTATGTATTTTAGATCACTATGGCGCGCGCTTTTCGGACTGCGCTCAGATATGATTGCGCTGTGATGTGGGGCAGCCCGCGTATACTATGGATGATTACAACTTCTAACTTGGAGGCATCTTCAAGGGCCGCCCTTGTAGTTCCGGGTAATGCCGGGTGAACCCATGGGCCGTTCGGCTATTGCCGGGCATTGCCGGGTAGACTTGCGGGCCGCCCGGTAAAAGCCGGGCAGTGCCGGGTAAGGCTGTGGGCCGCCCGGCGGCTGCCGGGCTGCCGGGCGGGTTGCGACGCCTATGGTGACGAAAACCCTGGATGGCGACAGAACTGACTTCCCTGATCTGTTATGATCAGATCCGTCACATTACCCCATTGCCACACAATAACCTTCTCGACTCCCGTCACAACAGTACTGCCTCGACAATCGGGTACAGGGTGGCTGAAATATTTCATAGTGAAATATTTCAAGAATGTTTCAGTGAAATATTTCAAATATTTCACGAAAAAAAATTTCAGTGAAATATTTCACTTTTGGCGGATTCTTCGCTTTTTTGAGAGGTTTACGTCAATAACTAGTGCTTGAGGACTCTCATCATGGATCACGGGCGTAGTTTGCCCTATCCCAGTTGAAGTAGGAAATACTCCAGTCGAACCAACGGCATTGATCTTTCTATCCGATAGGACCTATTGCGTGGTCCTGCAGCCTGATTGTACTACTAAGGCGTATCTTCTGGCGGACCGCCAGTGGCGGTGATATAGTCAACCCACCCGAAGGTATTGATCTCATCATAAGATTCTTATGAAGAACAAAATAGCCTCAGACAAAGTGTGCAAACTTTCGGTCATGGAATACTGAAATTCAACGTAATAGAGTTTCAACGAGCTTCGTATCCATTGTCGGCAGCGCCTTCCTTCTCGAGAAGGAAGGCGGGTGCTCCATCTCAAGAAGGCATCCCTGAAAATCTTCTCCGTCTCGGGCGGTTGGCGATAGGCATGAGATGGATTGGTATCGTACTAGATTTGAATCAAATGATTTGATCACAAGAGCTCATCCCAAACACCAACTCTAGCTCATGATGAGCTGCTCATCATTGAAAAGGTCGAATTTTGAGATTCGAAATGGGGCCCCGTATTCCAAAATCGCTTTCATTTTACGGGATGTTTGATGATGCGTGAAAACACTCCGGGCGGCTTCCACTAAGAGATTTCCACTAGCCCATAAAGATTGGCATCGCCAACCTCTTCAGATTCGTCAATCTGGCGAATCTTAAGATCAAGATTCTAACCTCACAAACTTGAAAAATCGAAGAACGTTTCACAGTCTCTTAGTCTCAACTTGAGACTTCCAGACTCACAAGTGTGAGGAGACTAATCTCGAAATGAGATCAAGCTAGAGCTACAATATTGGTTCTGAACTAAGCAACGTTTGGGAAACTTACAGCGAAGAACAGAAGTTGTGCGTATTTTTCCCCAAAATCAAGTTAAACACAAAGTGAGAAAAATGCTTTAGAACTTCATTAACCGGGGATCGTGCTCACGGGGTTTGTGGCACCCGATTATCTACTTCAGCGAAGAATTATGGTAGATAAGTAAAAGGGGTATCGATTAAACACGGTCTTGCAGTCCCTCGCTGATAAAATATTTGCACCGTCAATTACCAGTCGACATTCCCAGATTTTGTGAAATCCTTGAGACAATACATGCATACTGCGATGATCTTAGTATGATCTATGCGCTGTTATGATGAATCATCATAATAGCGTCAGTGATGATCCTTGTGCTCTCAAGGTCTCGCATACTGTTGCCGTCATACATGGAGCTGATAAAGATGATTGAATGTCACCCAAAACGCAGTTTTGGAAAAAATTGAGAAATATTTCAAATTTTTCAGAAAATTTCTGAAAAATTCAGTAATATTTCAGGTGAAATATTTCACGGTCTGGCGGCACCTTACTTCAGCCACCCTGATCGGGTATTAATCGAAAGCAGGTGAAGCCGGTATAGCGGCATACAAAGGTGACCACGTACCAAGGTGGCTCCGTCTTTGCCGTAGCTGCCATCCCTACTCTTGGAGATCGCATAGGACCATATAGATCGATCCCCACGGTCCGAAATGGACCGGAAGGAACACCAATGCCTCCCGTTTCTTCTGCAATATCCGATGGTCTCACCACCGAGCGTTGACATGGTTCGCAAGCATTAATGGTTTGCTTGATGATCTTCTTCATTCCCGGACACCATGTCACTTCAGCGATCTTGTGTGATACTTCGTAGAATGCTGCATGCGCTGCTTGATGGTGTGCAGCCTCAGCAATCTCTGACATAAGGCACCTCGGTACCACAACTTGGGTCAAGACTTTTCGCCCTTCTCCACTCTTGAGGAGAATCCGACGACATAACAGATTTTGCTTGTTGAGAAATAATCGGTAGACGAATCCAGTCGCTTTTTCTCCTAGCGACGGATCAGAATTGAGTGCCTCTCTGGCACGATTCGTTTCAGAATCACGAACTTGTTCGTAACGTAGCCACTGCAATCGTGAACCATTGCAGTTGTCCGGCGACTTGTCATTAGTAGCAGCACTTCGTCCTGTTGTGGACCTCCATGCGCCAAATATTTGTTGTAACCCCACGAATCTCCTATAACTGGGTACAATAAAGCATGACCACCCAAGAAGGTCATTCCCGATACCATAATCGCAAGCACCTAAGTTCTGCGATGACTCTACCGTGACTCCATTACCCGAGTCACTAGACGTCTCGCCTGTAGGCTCTACCGCGATTGGGGCGATCATTTCCCCCTCTGGTCTTTCCACGGGAATACATATGGTCGTTTCCGGAGCTCGTGATAACATATCCGCATTAATATTTTTTGCTGCTATAACGTGACATATTTCTAGTCGTATAGACCGGCGTCGCCAATCGAAATTCAAATCAATAATCATATTCCGGAGTCGCAGAATAGCTTGCTTCTCCAATGCCTTGCTCTCAGATGTCAAGGCCCACGGGTCACTTTGTTTCTGTGTGACACGTGAATCAGTGCCCACTCTGATTGATTTCAGATGTGGCATCAATACCAATAGAGTATCCAATCGTCGAAGACACATTGCCAATCCATACAATTCTTTACGATTGCAATGCCATACATCTTGCTTCTTATTGAAGCCCTTCGCCTCAGAATACACTATCGCTGATGGATTGTAGATATTATCAGTCCCATCTACCAGACCACGATCCACCACCACGAATCCATAACCCACTTTAGACGCATCAGTGCGTACTTCAATATCGGTGATGCTTCCATATACTTTCAGATTCTCATCTTCTGCAGAGCTCGCCTTCCAATAGAACTTCGCGCAGTCGAAGTGCTTTGACAAGAGATTGCATACCTGGGAATCCTGGCAAGGACTATCCCAGTCTGCCCATCCACCACTCAAACGTCGGAGAGTGTCAGCATGAGCTCTCGCCAAGGTCTCACAGAACCCACCTGTCAGTGCTAGGAATACTCCAGCTGCACTGAAGATCTGCCTTTTGGTATATGGGTGATGCAACTCCCTTTCTACAATTGGTCTCTTCATCGTCAGCTTAGGGATATCTGCATCAAAAGACCAATATGCACCAAGCCATCGAATGGGAGAGTCTGCTGACCAGAGGGCACGCTTCTCACTACTGCAGTTAAAGCCACAACGGGACCATAAGCAATCGTAAAGTGATTCTGTAAAGGCGATTTCTTCAGAAGAACCAACAAAAAGATAATCATCCATAACGAGAATAATGCGAGCCATACCACGACAAGCCGTCTCGGATCTGTCGGCATCACATTGAAGCCAGCTAGTCACTAGCTGGGCGCACTTATTTATAATAGTCTGTGAAAAGTAAAGTCCTATCGGGCCCGAAGTCAGCCCGAAACAAAGACATCTCGACGTATAATAATCATCGCCAACCCGAATAGCTAACGGTAAGACTCGCCCGTCCGTGAATTGTGGAGCTACTCGAATACTATAGAACGCTTTTTGTAAATCAAACTGCTTTATCATTAAACGTGATTTATCATCAGACAGGAAGGATCTCAACAACTGCACACTCGTCTGAGTTGATGTTGGACTCGACGAACATCTTGGACTGGCACGATTGCATCTTCGTAAATCCAAGCAAGGTCGCACCTTCGTCGACTTCTCCGGTTGAAGCACCGGGAATGCTGAACCCGCCATGGTGGAGAGCCCCTGCGAGAGAACTTCCTCGCGAGACGACGGGATCCACCAGCCTTTCTCGACATAATTCGAGATCTCCTTCTGCCACTCACTATACTGCGTAAAGGTCAAATTGTGTATCAATCGAGTACTATCCCACGGCAGCTGCTGCGTCTCATTATCGGCTGTGATGTCCCAGCCAATCTCAACTTGAAATCGCTGTACTGGATTATCGCATAATTTCGTATTGCCAATCTCGTCGCTGGATAATTCTTTCAAACGACCGCGATATCCGTCGCTAATCTCAATGAAGCCAGCACGAGAAATTGCTGAAAGAGCAGCGTCGACATAGCACTTCAATCGCTCCTTCTCAGAGATACCCTCAGCTAATGGAGGCTTCTTCGCATTGCTGAGTATCTCGTCGATAGATTTTTCCACCCACGATAGTTGAGACGAACCGCCGATAACATCATAGTCATTGGGGAACGGATGCGAGGATTCTATTACAGAAGGCTCTTCAATAACTTGATCGATGTGTACATGAATCGCATCAATCTTCTCTTCTTCTACTACCGATCTCATTTCTGACCGTTGATCAGATGCCTGCTCATACACATTTCGCAATTGTTCGTTTTCAGCCGAATCCCCTGCGAACTTCAAAGTAATATTCAAGCAGCACATAGCTGATCGCCCTAGTAGAATCCCTCGGTTCGATCCCTTCACCACGATAAAAGGTAAATAGAACCACTCACCAGTCTTCCTCTCCAATTGCACTGGAACGATAACTTCCTGATGAGATACTTCTTCTGCTGCACCAGCATACGATAATTTCACGGGTGTCTTCAACTCTCTCAAACACGCATCATTCGATGCAATCAGCTGGGACGCTACTGCGTCTGCCATTAGTGATGACGCCGCACCACTATCAAGTAGCACATCTGCCTCGAACTCGGCATGCCGGCCGAACTTGCATGCTAGCTTTGGAACTGGATCATCGGCTCCAATCGCATACACTCCTCGAACTTCTCCCACGAATACTTCCACGCTCCCAGTTGGTTGTGCTGGTTTCCCAGGAGACCCAGGGCCCTTGGGTTTCTGGGCTTCGCCAGCAACACCAGAAGTCGATACAGTAGGAGGACTTCGCCCACCATTACGTGAGAGATCAGGACAATTCCTCTTGAAATGGCCAGCTTTCCCACAATTATAGCAATGGACGTTCGATAGATTGGCCGATATCGCATTCCCTTTACCGAATGGTCGATCGACATTCTCCTGTCGACCACCGTCACGAGCTTGCGGTTTCCCATTCTCTGGAAATCGTGGCCGTGCTCCACCACCCTTCCGTCCGATCACAGTATCCCGACCTTGCTGATACTCTGAATCGAAAAATTCTGCCGAATCCACAATGGATTCTAATTTCTTCTCGTAAATTTTTGGACCGTAACGACTCTTTATTTTAGCGAGAAGTCCCGGCGGAATACCATCGAGAAATCGCTGCCGCAACTCGCCCTCACTTACGTTGCACTTCCCTGGCAGTGCTACTGCCATGCTCTTAAGCCGTGACATAAACGATACCACCGACTCGTTGCTCTGCTTCTTGGCCTGTTGGAACTGCTGCCTTGCCCGACCGTGGGACCAAACGGACCCATACTCCTCCTGTAGTCGTTGTAAAAGATAATCCAACGGCTCAATGCCTTCGGGTATCTCCTTGGTCAAGCACGTATGGGCGTAGGTACGTTCAGCACCACAGAGGTTACGTAAGGCGTAATAACACGCACGACGACCCTTCAGAGCATATGAGGAACATGCCAGACGAATACGATACTGCCAGGTATTATACGATACAACACCCAGTTTTGCCAGACCCCATTCGCCACCATCAACCAATGGTAAATCTTTTATATTGACACGATCGTCACTCTTTTCCTGGGCGCTCGAAACATTCACCGTCGAAGGCGCGATGCTCATCGCCGACTGTGAACGTTCATTGCAAGTAGCCAATACTTTGATAAACCCATCGAATAGGATAGCCGCTTCGTCTATCGTCGTCAGCTTCAATACACTCTTGATTATACGAGTAGATAAGACTCCCGCCAATTCCCTAGCGCCATCAGCATAATCCAATCCTGCGTCATCCACACAGAAAAGTATTTCCCCGTAGATAAGGGGGAATATGCGATCAATTTCATCTTTGATCAACTCAGCTGCGCCAGGGGCTCTAATAACCTCGTTCCAATTCTCTGCAACATGACCACCGTAATACTGTGCCAACAGAGTAGCCCCCTTCCGTATAACAGTACCGATACGAGATTTGTTGACTCCCGGCCCTTCTAGAATCTGGTCCACAACCCCGTGGACTACCGGAATTACCTCCTCTACCGTTGGCCTCTCCGGTGCGGTTGCAGACATCGCAGTGTCCCACCGAGATCGCCATGAGATGTGGGGTTGCGATGAGGACGACGGCGCCGACATTGGCTAACGCGAGGCAGAGGAGAAGAAGGGAAACTTGAGCCAAGATGGCTACAGTTAGTGACAAATGAACTATAGCTACCTCGAAGTAATCATGCTCTAAGTTCCGCTATGTGGCTGCGTACTACTAGAGAAAGCGCACGCCCTAAACCCTTACACCGCCCTCCCTCAATGATGGACGGGATGGAATATACATAGATTCTTGCTATCGTGGACGCTGCCATCATTGAGCTTATAAGTGTAATTGCCCAACGCTTCATCGACGGTGAAAGGACCATACCAAGAGGAGTCAAGGGAGTGAGCCGCCTCGCGCCATCTGAGTACAAAATCACCTTTCTTGAACTGACGACGATTGTTGATGGGGTTAGTAGTAGGGGTTCGGAGGAAGCTATCAGCTTCGGCCTTGTCTAGAAGAGCGATGATATCTTTGAGTTGGGCATTCCTTCGCCTCAAACGCCGGTCAGCCTCGAACTTGACGGAGTCATCAGAGATACCCGAGCGGAGGTCACAGAACCTATCGCTCCACGGAGAGCAACAAGGGCGACCGTAGAACAATTCAAAAGGGGTAGTAGAGATGTCACCCAAGCACCGAGAGTTGCATCGAGCCATCGCAACAGGTAGGAATTGGGGCCACAGGTCAGTGTCGCCAGCACACAGAACCTTGAGCACCTTCTTCAAGACACCATGCTGTCGTTCCAACAGAGAATTGCGATGGGGAGCAAATGACGGTACATAGGTTGGGACGATACCCCTAGAATAGCACCATCCACGGAAGGTTGTTGACCTGAATGATGAAGCATTATCCATACGCAAGCTACGCATGCAACCATAGGGATAGATTAGTCTACTCTCGAGGGTATCGATGAGAGACTGAGAAGTACTAGAGCTAATAGCAAAAAACCAGATATGTCGACTAGCTGCATCCATACAGCTTAATACAAACCGGTAGGGATGCTTGGCTGACAAGGGTTGGGGACCAACGACGTCGATGAAGACACAGTCCATCGGAACCATAGCACCACCAAGGGAAGTTGCGACAGGCCTGTCGGTCCCCTTCCTGGCACGGGTATACTGGCAAATACACCGGCTAATGACCTTCTGGACAGCCTTGGCCAACCCAAATATATAAAAGTGCTTGGAGATGCATGCAATAGTCTGTTTGCTGTCCGAGTGACCGTAGAAGCAATGATACTTCCGAGCGATATCAGGAGCATATTTTCTAGGAATCACATAGCCGCCTTTCAATCGCATAAGACCACAATCGTCAATCCAAAAACGAGACAGCTTACGATCAATGAGAGAGAGAACCTTACCACACTCCTCATCCCCCCTCTGGACATCATAGAGCCATCGGCGGGCGGACTCGGGGTCAACGGGGACATCGAAACTCTCCTCGAACGGCACTCTTGTTTTCCACGCTAGGAAGCACCTCCTGAGGCCATCGAGTAGGTTTACACACACATCGATAGCACCGAAATCCGGCTCATCGCTCAAGGGCAGAGGAGTAGACGATGGTGGCACTGGATCGGATGTTGAGGACGTCGATGATCCCAGACTGGCGGTAACAGCCGTATTGGCCTGAGGGTAATCACTTCGGATAGCCTCGGTAGTAGTCTCGGTTATGGTCACGGACTCATCGTTGGCAATGCTCCGAGCTAGGGCATCGGCCCAACGCGGACATTCAGACCTCGGAACCCATATGACCTTGTTGACATTGCGACAGAAGGCTTCCCACCGAGTAAGCCAAACGCCGTGGAAGGTGTCCAATACGTCCTTCCACGTCTTCATACCATTCTGATTGTCCAAGACCACAGTAACAGGACCCTCCAGCTCTGACTCGGCATCGGCGATGGCGGCCACCACAGCCGCTCGTTCTCTCCAAGTACTACTCCTCTTCCTATCAGTCTGGCTCCAGCGGCCACCCAGCATGCGGACAGGGAGGAAGACGAGAGGCTTGAGGTCATTTGTATCGAAGAGCGACATGCTATCAGGGAAGATGACCGGAACGTCGAGCGAATGTGGGGTGTTGATGTCGCCAGCATCGTCGAATACTGCCTTCAGGATGATGACAGCCCATGAGTCAGTGTTAGAATCTCCCAGCACCACCGTACCCAGCAGTACCACCAAGATGGGTCGCTACCATGGGTGGTATACCAGACAGATAGAATTGCAGCAGCCCTTGGAAAGCTTCACCAATACCAGTCACGCGCTCGTTCTGGCGATCACCGAGCTCTTCTTGGAGAAGAGGGCAGTCATGCTTCTGGTAGCGGGACAAAGCGTCTTGTAGGACATAGAGATTTGTAAGAGCCTCCGGAGGTAGGTGGTTGCGGAGGTAGTTCATAGTTCCGGACCACTTTCGGAGCCACCCAAGTCGTGCCAATCGCAGGGTCTCGAAGTTGTCGGTCACCTTCTTCGACTTCAACGATGGAGTGACAAACTCGGACCACGCTAGCGAGTAGGTGGACTCCGTAAAGGCTTGTCGAGATCCCTCAGGACGATGAAAGCCACCTCGGAGAGTAACACCACAGAAATGGACCTTATCAGTGGGACCGCAGGACTTGGCTGGGTTAGGGTGAAAACCATGCTCGATGAAGATCTGGATGGCAACATCAGCGGCTTTTTGGCAGTTCTGGGCATCCTGTGCAGCAATCAAAATGTCGTCTTTATTATGGCGACAGACGGCCTTGATTTGTAGTCGGTGTAGCTGTTCGTTGATGATGTCCACGAGAAGCTGCATGGCCGAGTTGAAGAGACAGCTTGAGAAGACCCACCCTTGGGGAAGGACTTTGTACACCCACCACAGCTGCCGCCCATCGCCACCCCGGGAAGTAGTGCCAAAGATGGACCGTAGTGCGGGAGGTAGGAGAACCCCCGAATAGGCATCGGTCAAATCGAGCTTGTAGTAGGCTTGGTAGGAGAAGGGGATGCTGTTGAGCTTCGCGGTGATGTTCGGTTCAGCTTGTCGAAAGGCTTCCTTAACAGCAGCATCGGTTAGCTGTGGGGTACCATCGGCGATCATCGTCTGAGGCATCAGCATCATGCTGGCATCTTCATCCGCCACATCTCCTACCAATACCAACCTATTGATAGGCCTACAGTCCACGGTGACCCTGTATCGCTTATCCACCATCGGATCAGGATACACCCGCGGTCGAACACCCGATTCCTTATCGCAGATGACAGCGGCAAGGACGGCAGTGCAATCAGCCTCATTGCAGGACTCGACCTTGCCCTGTGAAGCCATAGTGAGCATACGATGGGTAAGGATCTGGTTGTTGGTCTGGGACAGCTGCCTTTGCTTCTCTCGATAAGGATACAAGACCAGCCTCTCCAACGGACCACAATGACACATCACGCGCTTGCCCTCAGCAGTCTGCACAATCTCAGCAGTCGGAAGTGATGGAGTGGCGCGAGCGGCCATAATAGGATTGGGAGGAGGCGCAGCAGTCGAAGCAGTACACCGGAAGTTGGTGGTGTCCGCCTCGCCAGTGGAAGTCAGTTGTACACCTATGGCTGGGAACATGTTGGTACCCAAAAGAATGTCGGGATCGACATCATCGCAGACGAGGAACTCCAGTGTACCCTCGAGTCGACCACTGGCGAACTCGATGTGAACAATGTGAGACCCGGAGATGCTCTTGCCAGAGGCTACACCGACAGGAATCGTACTGGGGAGTGGTACGACGTCCTTATCCTTGATCACGCCACGTTTGGTGAGATAGGCAACCAAGCCGGAGCTGATCAGGGAGCAATTGGCTCCTGAGTCCACTAAGCAGGAGGCTTTGCAGTAGGCACCATCAACACCAAGAGTTAGATGTACCTCAGGTTGGCGAGGAAGGCGTCGGAGGAAATCGACAACAAGGTCGGGGGCATTCTTGCGGACAGCAGCCGCCGCCAAAGAGGTCACCAGCGCACACTTAGAGTTAGTGACAGGGAACTTGTCCTTGAACTGAGCCTCACCATCAGACTCGGGTACCTCACTGCGCTTGCCAGAGCTGCTCTTGCGCTGACTACGACAGACACCAGCAACGTGTCCTGTTTTGTGACACCTTGAACACACCACCCTCCGCGGGGAAATCCTACAGCGATGATTCTCAGACCGTAGGTCTCCGCACGTCTGGCAACGGTCGGCACATCTGTAGATGTTGGGAGAGTTGCAATCTCTTGCAAAGTGGTTGGCGTTCTGGCCACAACGCAAACAGGCCTTTGGATCTAGCCCCAGGGGCTTGGTGATGGCAAGGTGAACTTGGGCGTAGCAATCATCAGTGTCGAAGGCTGCCTTGCGGGCCAGAGGTTTCTTGGCGTTCTTGGAGGTGTCAGACGCAGATGGCTTGGGAGCGCCGGGTGGTGGTTTGGAGCCCAACAAGGGAATGACGTTCTCGTCGCCGGACTGCACGAAGGATACCACCGCCAGCTTGAAGCCTTCATAGTCCAGACGTCCGAGAGGATCGACAAGCATCTTGGCGAGTATGGCAGCAGGTTCGCAGAAGCCATTGGAGAACTTCTGTACCAACTCACTATCGGGAATGTCGGCCTCAAGAAGAGATCGTCGGGTATGCACGAGCTCTTCAAATCGCAGAGCGTAGTCCTGAAGAGTCTCATTAGGCAGCTGTACAACCTTTTCCCATCGGCTGCTGAAGGCCTTCAACTCGTTAGGCGTGAGGTAGATGTCGTCGAGAACATCGAATATGGCAACATGTCCGCGTTGGACTCGATCAGTGCTGGACACACGCCGTCTTATGCGAGACCGTAGTGAGGGCTTGAGACAAGCCCATACTATCTCAACGCTCACCTCACGTGAACAGCTGTAGTTGTCGATCTCATCACAGACCCGGACCCTCCAATCCGCATACGCACCAATGTCGCTCCCGTCGAAGTAGAACTCCTTCAAGATCGGTTTACCAAGTAGGGTGTTGACCTGCTTCAGAACCTCATTTTGGGATGATTTGGTGGTATCGGTTTTAATGATCAAGGGACGGACTTGGCTTCGGAGTGCATGCTGCTTGGCTTTCGTCCAGTGAGATGTGGATATCTCAGTCACAGGGGAATCTTCGTGTTCTCGAGATAGATCGGTTTGCTGACCCGGATAGGACACTCTCGAGGGCACGATAGTCTCACGGGGGTGGGCCGACTTGCTGGATCTCGCTGTCGCTATCTCGCGCTTAAGATCACCACGAGTTGGCAGCGGGCAATCATCGGGTACGGCAATGCGGTACTCCTGGGATACCTTGTCGATAAGGCATCTGGATAACCATTTGGCCGTTGGCTTCACCCAAGTTGGTGTGCTTATGTCTAGCAGATTATCATCTGCGATCCGTTCGCATGTACGGACCATGTCCTCGAACGCAACGTTGACGTCGGTTGGGGTCTCAGAGGAGCCATGCTGAGTGCTGTCTTGAGTCGGGAATGTACCACTGGCTGTGGTGCCCGCTCTGCCATCACTGGTTTCACTCGATGTCGGAGCCGTAAGGGGGCCGGCAGGGAGTGGTGTGGGAACCGTGATGGCATCGACACAGTCACGCATGGTCAACCTGTAGTCCTTGGTACCAGTCTCGAGGTCGATGAAGCACTTCGCGAGAGCAGTCTTGTTGTCGACCAGTAGTTCTCGGCAGGCAGCCCCCAATGTTATGAAGGACCCCGAGACTATAGTACGCGACGCGGATGACGTTGCAGACATAGCAATAATGGAGTGAATCAATGGTGAATATACAAACATCTACGGGAGACGGTTACAGACGTTCCGTCGGTTACAGATATGAAAAGATGCGCTCATAGTAGCGCGCGCCACAGTCGGGCTTTCCATAATCTCCACATATATATTAATAGATTATAATGGCGCGCGGTTTTTAGTTGGTTAAAATCGGGTTTGGCTAAATTCGGGCGGAGCCTTCCACCAACTCCCAGCGAGGACATGTCCATAGCGTGAAGTTGTTTGGTCATTTCTTACGAAGGTCCTCTACAAAGTTCTACTAATAGAGTATTTCGTCGTCTAGCAATACTAACCGTGCATGTCCTCGGTCTGGCCTTGTTCGTGTCTACGTTACTGCTTGTGTGGGGTTGTCCGTGTCGGGTTTAGCTTTTAAGCTCCGCGGGCTGAGGCTACTTGATCGCTTTCGAACTATAGCTCAATCGTAGTGCACTCGCCTTGTCAGCTCAGGACGTATCTTGAGGTCCACTGGCTTAGATACGAAATAGGTCCGGTTGCCGCCCTGTTGATCTTCATGAGTTCCTTCTATCAGTTCCTACTATTGTTATAATGTCTAGCAGTGAATACACTCTCAAGCACCTCCCCAACTACAACGGTAGTCAGGGTCCCCTCCTTACCATCGTTCTCGATGGCTATGGACTCGGCCGCCAGGATGATGGCGATTGCGTCCATCTTGCCGACCCCACCTACATGGAGAAGCTCGCCAGCGATGTAGGGCTCCATCATCGCTCACTTGTGCCGGAATGATGACTCTTCTGTTCCTCAGGCCCAAGCTCAGAATCTCTACTGCCAATTGAAGGCTCACGGCACTGCTGTTGGTCTTCCCAGCGATGGCGACATGGGAAACTCCGAGGTTGGCCATAACGCTCTCGGTTGCGGTCAGTTGGTTGCTCAGGGTAAGCCCCATAGTGTCCTCTGTAATGACCTACGTTGATTTTCATAGGTGCTAAACTCGTCGCTAACTGCCTTGATGACGGCTCTATGTTCAAGTCTAAGAACTTCACCCATATTGTCGATGAGCTCAAGGACGGCTCTGGACGTACCCTGCACTTGTTCGGTCTCCTCTCTGATGGCAACATTCACTCCAACATCGCTCACGTTGAGAAGATCGTGAAGGAGGTCGCCAAGGAGGGCGTTACTGACGTCCGCGTCCACATCCTCACTGATGGTCGTGATGTCGGAGCCATGTCGGCTTTGGAGTATGTCGAGCGTCTCGAGAAGTGCCTCGCTGAGTGCGGTCCCAACTTCAAGATCGCCTCGGGTGGCGGACGTATGCAGGTGACCATGGACCGTTACAACTCCGACTGGAACATTGTGAAGAGAGGCTATGATGCTATGTGCTTCGGCATTGTTGATCCTGCTATCAACCCCGAGTGCGCCAAGGGCTGGACCGGTATGTACAAGGACGCTACTACTGCTATCACTGAGGTCCGCAAGATGTTCCCTGAGAAGACCGATCAGAACTACCCCCCTTTTGTGATTGTCGATGAGAGCGGCAAGCCTGTTGGTCCCATCAAGGACGGCGATGTTGTCATCTGCTTCAACTTCCGTGGCGATCGTTCGATCCAGATCAGTCGCGCCTTCATTGAACCCGACTTCGACTGCTTTGATCGTCGTAACGCCCCTAAGGTTGACTACTATGGTATGTTGATCTATGATAACGATCAGATGATCCCCAAGCAGTCCCTTGCTCCCAACCCGGATATCAGCCACGTGCTGTCCGAGTATATGTTGGCTCAGGGTGTGAAGATGTACGCCTGCGCCGAGACTCATAAGTTCGGTCATGTTACCTTCTTCTGGAATGGCAACCGTTCGGGCTACATCGACCCCAAGATGGAGCTCTACGAGGAGGTTACCTCTGAGTCTAACGATGCCATTCAGTACAATCCCGCCATGAAGGCTCGTGAGGTCACTGACAAGGTCGTGTCTGCTATTGAGAAGGACGACTTCAAGTTCTATCGTGTTAACATCGCCAACGGTGATATGGTCGGTCATACTGGTCTCATCCCTCAGACCATCGAGACCGTCAACGTCATTGACGAGTGCGTCAAGAAGATGGTCGAAGCCGTAAGTTTTCACTCTGCCCTTGGGGGAATATTTGGTATTTGTATTATATCAGGTCACCGCCCGTAACGGTATTGTTGTGATCACCGCCGATCACGGCAACTGCGAAGAGATGAAGGACAAGAAGGGTAACATTAAGACTAGTCACACTCTCAATGCCATCCCCTTCATCATTGTTGATCCCAACTGTAAGTGTGATTTTGTGTCGATCACTTCGTGTAATGGTTTGTTGTTGTTCAGGCCAGGGTAAGTACGTCGTTGACCCCAGCCAGGACCCCAGCATTGTCGAGCCTGTTGCCGGCATCACTAACGTTGCCGCTACCTTGTGCAATCTCCTAGGGTATGAGCAGCCCTCGATGTACCGTAAGTCTCTCCTCAAGTTCCAAGAGTAGATTACTGAATTCTTACTTGGATCACGACGAGGCGTCTCGAAGTGTCTCTAGATAGAGCCTCGGGTGTGCCCTGTTGGTGAGTCAACTTCATCGTTTCTCAATGTTCCTTCTACTGTTGATGACATAGTTGTGCGTTGCTCTCCTCTGTGAGAAGTCTGCTCTAGTAAGCAATTTGGTTGCCTTTGTCGAGTTCTTCAATCTCTGCGGGAGATGGGCATCATTTTAGTGGGTCGACTCTCGTTGTGCGGATGGGAAATGAGTGTGCATACGCTCGTTAGCCAGTTTGTAGTGATAAAGGAGTTTACCCGCTGTTGTCGGGTCTAGGTCAGCCCCGTGATTGTAGTCGGCGTTGATTTAGCCGCTGTGTGGAAGGCTTCAGTTTTGGCTGCCTGATTGGCCTGCTAGTTGTGATTGAGAATCGGGGGTGTGCTGTAGTCTGCTCGGTGTCTTCGCCTGCCTCAGCGCGGTCGATCCCACTCTGTGCTTGATAGCTCTTTTGCTGTCTTTAAGCTCGTTCGGGATCGTTCCGGTTGCATGCGTATGAGTACGGTTGATACGCTCCTCACAGAGCTGCACGCGACAGATGATACTGGACTGGGTATGCATATTGTCTTCGAAGCTCAACGCTAGGGTAAATGCTCTCTTTCACTCACCGCTGGGGACTCGTTTGTGCAGTAATCCCCTCTTCTCCTCAATGAAGGCATCACAATTGAATATGCTCCCGGTCGGTGAGCTGATCATCCCGTACGCCAAGAGAAGACGAAGAAAAGTTGGCCTCCAGCAAGAGCCCTCTACACGAGGTAGCTGAAGAGGCGACAGAGTAACTACTTTTTCTTCGATGACACTGGCATGAAGTGAAGCGTGCGTTCGTAAAGGGTTCGAGTTTAGTGTTGTAAATTGAAAGTGTATGGTTTGTCCTATAACGACTGTGAAGGTGTGAGGGAGGTGCGGCATCGTCATCGTCCTCCTCAAAGCTAGAGCCCACCTGTAATGTTTTTCGTCCCCTACGCCGCCAAGAATACTGCCCAGGCCTCTGCGCCCACCTGCCGCAGCGCCATTGCGTCGACGACCAACAAGAGATCGTTCTCGTCCGACGTCGGCTCGGCTTCGACTGGCTTCGGTGACGGTAGCGTTGATGATAATGCCGCTGCTGCTATCATCCCTAATGCCGGTCTACACCCTGAGATAGAAGTGCCCGGGTATGTGTGTGCCGCCTTCCCATGGGACTCGCCGAAGACCGTTCATGCGTAAGCTAACAGGGTTTCCATTTTTTCTGGTGCGTACACTTTCTGCCAGGATTTCCAACCGTATTAGAGTTTCTTCAGACAAGTGTTGGAATATATGTTTGCTTTCCTTAGCTGAGCTCAAGAATTTCCTTACTAATTGTAGGTGGTTATATACGAATTAGGGTAGAAGTGTTTAGAAACCAAGAAGAGTTTTTCCAAAACTTCCTCAGCATTTACATATTGTCATGGACACATATAGTTGACGATGTGCATATTTCCCACACTGCTTCAGACTGGCCTCGTCGTTCGGCTCGAGCGACCACTCAGGGGAATCTTCCCTCTGTTCGGATTTCCACAATCTCAATACGAGAGAGGTGGAAACGCCGAGTCCGAGGCTACTCCTGAGCCATGCTGACAGTCTCCTTGGTATCCTACAGGGGAATTGGATCAACCTAAGGGAACCTAAAATGTAGTCAGCGCTCACTTGGGATTTCTCATGTGGTAGAGCTCCCGTTCATTCTCAGTCTCTACGAGGTTGAGGGGTCTGAGGTCCGCAGGAGACGAGTGAATATGGACTATGGTATTCTAGATAGTCATACGCTGTGTGTGTGCAATGACAATGTATATTGGAGTAACCGTCTGAGCTATGTATGCATTCTGTACAGTCGTACTGCCTTGATTTGGAAGCGCATCTTGAAGGCTGATGATACTAAGACTAACAACAGTTGCAGTGAGCAGTCGTCATGTTATTGGATTCGGATGGTTCAATGATCTCTACTGCGTCGTCGCCGATATCCCTAGGACTTCGTTATGAATTATTCCACTTATACCGATTTGCTATTCGCATCTATGCATTACACGAAGACTTGCTACTCTGGATCATTCACTTCACCATTGCTTTATTAACCCCTACTCGGAGTCTACATAGTATTCCACTTCCAATGGCAGCTCACTCTAGCACGTCCATTATAATCATTTGGGAATTTGCACCTTGTTCGACTCCTACGATGGTCCCGGTATGGTATTTATTGACTCCGCCTGGCTATATACTGAGGACAGCTCTGCCGTTTTGTCTGTGTCTGGCGCACTGCTGGCAGTTTTGGTCATGTCGAATGAGCGACTTGCGGTGGAGTGTTGTAGAGGAGTCCTGTTACTATGATGGCTGTTGTTGTTGTCGTCGTCGGCTACCCGCTTACTTGAGTAAGATGGACGGTCGTATTTTATATCATAATTTCACATATCGGATAGGGACATCCTCCCGTGGAGGTGCTCGGTCGTCCTTGAACTATACGACAAGGTAATTAGCACTGAGTGACTCATCACGTCATCACCCGTGGTAGGCACATGAATGATATATGCATTATGACAGTGTCTCGAGTTGAGTACATTACTTGTCTCCTCGTTGCTCATGTTTGTAGTAAGAATTTAGGCTCTTCTGATGAACCCCTTCGACACACCGCCTGGGCTGGCATCCGCAGGTTTCCATCGCGGTTGCCTGGCCACCGAGGAGGACACCGGGTAAGAGCTAACTATTCTGTGGTACATCCCGGCACGATAGCGTCCATGTCGGTGCTCGTTGTAGTGTGTGTTTGCTCTCAGTGTTAAGACGTCATCTGAGCTCAACCGGGATGCCTCCCCCTTTATACCGTCGACTGAGCCCAGGAAGCATCACGAGGTTGACAGCTTGGTCCGTACCGGGATTTCGCATATTACCGTTTATGATCTTCCAGGTTGGCCGACCGGTGGGAGAAACTGTCCACTACGAGTCTTGTACCTCACGTTTCAATGGTGCTAAGGAGGAGTCGATGATCGATTCGATCGCGGTCTATCAGCCGACGAGTCATATCCTACAGGTGAGGATAGTGATTGCTCTTGATGATTCTACTTACCTCAGAGTTGCGTCACTGCCGGCCGATGCTGCATCCCGTGGCATGACAAAGCGCCACACATACATATGGTCCCGATGCTCTACAACGCTGGAGTCGACGACTGCAAGTCTGGTGATTGTGAAGAGCCCGAGAAGCAGTCAAAGTCTATTAGACGGGATAAGGTAAGTTCACCTGCGTTGACCATCCCTTGTTGTGGGTGTTATAGGAGTCGAGACTTTCCCAGAGCGACAGTGGAGAGCTGGTGTCGGCGAGGAAGATGTTGAGAATGATATCGGGCCGGTGGTATTGCGTGGTCGAGGGTCCAGACCTGGAGTATGAAATTAGAGGATCGTGTGTGATCAAGACAGAGAAGGATAAGGACGACTCGTCTGATTTCTCGCCACCGCTCTGGAAGAAGCGTTTGGTAATCAAGAACGGCTCCATCTACTGGAGTGCTTCGCAGAATTATGTTCTCTCGAAGTCCAAGTTCAGTCGTAATGAGATCAACTGGGAGTCCACCAGCACAGGGCGTAAGGGGTGGATGTGGCTCAGAGTGCCCCATAGCACCGACACCGATTCCCCGAGCACTCACAGCTCTAGTTAGTCTGTTAGTGTCCATCTTCCATGATCACGCCGTTCCTTCCTTCTCAAAAGGAGGCAGCTCACATTGTGGGCGTTTCCATTCTATGGTCTTCATCTGAGTTGGCAGGGTGTATGAGCCATGTCTGCTTGTCTCCTTAGGCATTCCGGTTCGATTCACTCTTCCTTTTTGTCACCATGTGGCACGTTGTTCGCAGAGGTCGCGCAAACGACAGAACTACTAATGCTACTACTGCCACCCGCAGACATCTCAAGACTTCCATTCCCAAGCCTGAACGGGCTCGGAAGTGAGTGCTCCCATCTCTCGTATCACCTATCATGATGATCTTGATAAGAAGGTGGCTTTGGTTCTTCAAGGTTGTGGTGTGAGATGGACAGCAGCAGTGAGGAGGGAAGTGATCGAAGCGTGATGGAGGATGATGATGTCTGGGCGATGCAAACTGATGCACTTTCGTCGCGCAGGTAAGAGGCGGAGCTGCTTATCCGCTTTCACGAGGCTTGCGTCCTTACTTCAGTGATGTCGAGGATGTGATACCCAATGAGGAAGTCTGCAAGGTTGACGATACGATATCTAGAAGAGATATAACGGACGAGACAAGAAGTCCATGTGCGGTGGATAGTTGGGAGGAGCCGCAGGACGGGGACAAGGCGCGTGTGAGTCGGTATGTGGTTCGTCCGTTTTGAATGTACCTCAGCCTCATGCTGCATCCTTGTCGTCCGGCTCGACAAGCACGGCTGAACCTAGTCCTGTGCCTGCCCCATGCTACCCTCCTCCTGGTATCCATCACGACTCTCTCCAGTGGAATGCACCTGTTGCTGCCATGGAGAGAACGATTCCTGTCTTCCACCCGAATGGGCCCTTTCCTGAGGTGTGTGACAGAGTGCCACGTAGCAGTCGGGGGTTGATTGTTTGATGCAGTGCGTCGTGCAAGGAGGAGTCTGCTCAATACCCTGGCACCCCAAAGGCCCTCACGTTCACGTTATGCATATCCTTTTCAACGCTCCAAATAGTGATACGGAGGGAATACTCGAGGAAGCTGATATGGATCTCGAAAAGGGCAGACCAATTACGGTAAGTGAGTTCGGCATTGCTCGTCTAGCATTCGCATGCTCTCTAGGAAGAGAACGCCAAAGAGATCTTGTGGGCTATCGAGGGTCGATGGTTTTGTAGTGATGAAGATCTGGGTCTGGCGTACGATATCAATCCGAAGAGGAAACGCGTCGCTAAGCTGTGGGTTGACGAAGAAGGAAATACACTATCGAGAATTTGGGAGAAAAAACTAGTCCTAGATCCATTCGACGTCTATTGGGGAGATTCTCGAAGTTATGTTCTGTCAAAACAACGTTTGTGGGAAAATGAACTGAACTGGGAGTCGACTCGTGGAGGCAAGGGATGGCGCTGGCAACGAGAAAGACCATCGCCGTGAGTGCACATCAAGCCGGTCATATGTCATCCGCTCGGACACTCGGTTACTTACTACCAACATTCATCGGTATAGCAATAGCAGTAGTCAAGATGTTACTTCACCATGCGTGATGGCCGCCGTAGTAGTGCATGTGCCGAGGCTTTGTGTGGCCTATTGTGAGTATGCTTCTTCATCAAGTAAGATGTTGGAAGGCTTTAGTCTCCTCTCAATTGGGTCGGCTCATTCTCTGTATTACTCTCAAGTGACCCTCTCTGCAATGGACCTTCTCTACTGTCATCATCATCAGACGGATTGGGGTATATTCCTCCTCCTATAGGACCAGGAATCTAGTGAGCTAAGGATGCGACTATTCATGAGCCAAGGAATTAGCCATCGACCCAAGCCAATCGCCGCGCGGAACAGGGGAGACAGTAAAAATCTCCCACGTCCACGCAGGTGGAAAACGCGATTTTGCTTCAATTTTACTCCTATGATATTCTAATCATTTTAACATTGTCTTTTCGATGTTGTGTTACAGAACAAGCCAGGATACTTCGGCACGATGAGGGAGACGCTGTCGTTGCCCCAGGTCAGCGAGATAGGGAAAAAGCCCTAATTGACGGAGGTGTTCCATTGGATGATTATCAGTAAGCCACAATCGTTGTTACAATCCTCGGAAATATTCAATTATTTAAATGAAATCTTATCGTTAAATATTTATTACGCGGGAATGGGTTAATTTGAGAGGTCTTGTAATGAGAATAAATTCTACTAAATTGACTTACCGAGAACACGATTTCCTCCGGAACGAGGTTATAGTGTAAAGTTTATAGAGCAATTGTATCTCTACCATTAGCGAGCAAGGCACAATATATAGATCAAATGGTATCCACCAGTTCCTCTCCAACTTCACTATCCCGAGTTAAAAATCTACCATTGAAATACTTGACTAAGAACGCATCACACATATTATATCACTTACATTTACCTCGT